TTTGATCATTTGTGGACATGGTAAAAATTACACAGCAAGCAGAAATGTTCTAAAGAAGCTATCTCTGTAAATTAAGAGCTCTTTTCCTCAACTGGGATGTGGTGCTCCCTCTTTATCACTGCTTAGTACCCATATTTCTGTACAATCCTGATTTTTTTAAACTTTGTTAAGCTATATTCTATTTCACAAGGTTACTTTTGTGTCTTTATAAATACAGAACTGCTACCTAGTTCACCTGAAGAGGAAACTTCATTCATTCCATCATCCAGTCATCTAGTGACACCCTATACTTTTTACCTTTTTTTTTTGTTAAAGTGTGCACTTAACATGTCTGACGTCTTCATTCTGAAAATGAAACATCCACATAGTGATTTCTCAAGCACTTATTTCCAAAATCAATTTGAACTGTCAGTTCAGCCTCTCTTACTATCATGTGAAAAATCTGGAAAGCTGAAATAGTACAGGGACAGATCGCCATGCCTGTTATATTGGTTACTGTTGTTCTAAAATATTTCTTCTATTAAAATAGACAACTTTGTATCCTGTATCTTTCCTGGGCTTTGTGAAATGATACAAGACAAATTTAATGTGAATTGTTTAGTTCATACACCAATAAGACCAGAGATTTAGAACAAGGTGGACTTTGAATTGTTTCTTGAAATATATTTTATTTAAGCCATTTTTTAAATGGTTATAAAGAAACAACCAATATTAAACTATTCCAAAGAACAAATATGCTGGTAAGCTTCCTGAGATAATTAATAATTAGCCCAATATAAAAAAGATAATTCTCTGTCATACTATTTATAATCTGACATACTATCCTACAATGCTATCTACATACTATCTCGGACAGGGGTGTCAAACTGCCAGCTGGATGCGTGGGCTGGATGCGTCATGCCAAAGCCGCGCCCACCCCATTGCCGGCAATGGAAAAAAAGTTGTGATACATCACGAAACATCACATGACATTGCGAGTTTGACACCCCTGATCTAGGAATTCTGAAAGTAGAGATACAGGATGCCAACTTATAAGATTCTAATTCTATACCTGCAGGAGATCTTTGATCTAAAAAGTGTTCCAGGTAATATTTCTTTAACAAATTATTTATGCAAGAGAACTGAAACTCACCTTAGATTACTTACTTTATCGATGGCAATACTCTTTTGGAATTTCTAATCATCCATCCTAAAAATTATATTTGCTCTTCTATTAAAGAAACCTGCTGGGTTTGCATGTTCTTTGTAGATAACGTCTTCTATTCTGTTGCTGTTTGGTAATGTCTCTAATTCTATGAAATTTTCTCTAAAACTTTGCCACCCAAAGTGATAGTGGAATTGGACAGCCTATAAATTTAATAAATTTACCGGATTATTCTTTTGCTTTATCGCACAGTCAGCTATATGCTTAGACTGGATTTGGTATTTTTATCAAAATATTGAATGCTTTCTAAGGACCTGGGATAGGCAAATGTTGTTGTCTGTGGGTGTTAAGGGTACTACAACAGAAAGTAAACCGTTCCAAGTAAAGTTGCCTTTTGCAGTTGGTGATTTTGTCAAGATTGATCAATGGTGTTCAAGTGAAGCTCCACGAGTTTTGGGATTGTACCTAAGGTACCTATTACTGTAGGTGTTATCTTAACTTTGCTTTCTTTTGTCATAGTCATTCTACTTCTATTTGCCAGTCTTTGTATTTTGTGATCCCCCCCCCCTGCCACCAGTCCTTTCTGTTCTGTTCTGGTGCCTCCAGGTTCTGCCACATCTACTGTCTAGACTTTTTTTGTGAAGTCTGGGGTGTTATGCACTAGATGTGTCTCTGCTTGAATGCTAATTATTATTATGTGTGGGTAATCTACAGCTAGATTTATAGTTGAAGACTGGTGGAAACTTAATAATTCAAGAACCAAAAAAAATATTTTGATAGTGTCTAGGAATATAGGCAATTCCAAGTAGGATGGTGAAATTTACTGGAATGTTAATTCAAAAATCTCCTGTATTGTGTGGATATTGAAAATAGGTATCATTCCCTGGCAAACTATAGTAATCAATTCACCACAAGGGATTAACCGCAAAAGTAATCTAGATCAAATCTAAGCATTGGCGCCAGCAGTACAGAAGGAATCAAACTAGAAATATAGTCAGCATTTAATCAGGCATCAAAATGATTAGGCAGATCAAACAATTTGGAGCAACAAAGACACAATGTTGTAATCTTATACAACAATTTGCCAAGTAAGCTGTATTTCTGTTTTCAGTCTGGATGGCAAAACTCCAACCAAGATATTCCAGCATATGATTGACTCACATCTGACACTCATGATTCTCAAGACTATTGGCTTTATTGTCTTGCAGTTCTGCCTTATTTGGCTAACTGGGCTTCCACACCATAGCACCACTATTTTTATAAGGCTTATAATTTGGATTTAGACTCCACTGATAGGGGGGGAAAGTTTTACTACATCAGAGCTTGGTGGCAAGTGGGATGTGTCCTTAGTGGGCTTTCAGGTATGGTTCCAGCCCTACCTGGATTAGGGCAGGCTATTTGCAGTATCACCATCTCCTATTATCTCTGCTCACGTCACCAATTCCAGCAGGGAGGATATGCTCCAGGCACCTTCCATTATTTAAAAAATGACATTTTGTTGCATCCCAAAGTTGTCCCTGCATTGTGGCAGCACCTTCCCTGTGGAATAGTATCCTCTTAGAGACCTTGATGGCCCCAAATCTTTAATGTTAGCTATTAAAGATCTAGATGTTCTTCTAGGCAACTGAGCAGGGTGGCTAGACAAACTCTAATGTAGCTCTGCTCTTTTTTTGGGGGGGGGGTGTCAAGTTGTGTCTGTGTCCTATTGTGCTTGTAGTTAAATTGTTGTATTTAATCCTTGTATACTGTTCAGAGTTACTTCTGTATGATAGGCAATCCTTCTTATTTGTTTGTTTGTTTTGTTTGACTATATCAGTGGTGGGATTCAAATATTTGAACAACCATTTCTCTATGTTGATGCTGCTTCTGGAAGTCCGTTCTGGGCCTGGGCAACAAAAAATTGTCTTACCAGTTCTGCTGAAGTGATGCAAACCGGCTGAATCCCACCACTGGTCTATATCCCACCTTTGTTATATTCATAAATAATTCAAGGTGGTGAATATACCTAATATTTCTTCCTCTTCCTGTTTCCCCACAAAAAACTTGGGAGGTGAGGTGGGTTGAGAGAGAGACAGTGATTGGTCCCAATTGGCTTTCATGACTAAAGTGGAACTAAAACTCACAGTTTCTAATCTGTTGCCTTAACCACTAATAAATCACAGACTAATAGAAAGAATATGTTAAACTCTTATAGAAAATTCTACTTTTACTAGCCAGAAAAGTGGCAATCATAGCTATGACAATAACTGAGAGACTGAATTCTTCTTTTTCAGTTTCTGGCTATGATCTTGACTATACATTTGTAATCTCAAAGGACTGTTGGAGGCTGACTTCTTTTCCTTTTCCAGTATACATAGAAATTTTAGAAAACTACAAAAAAAAAATCATCAATAAATTGTAGTCATGGTGTAATTAGTGAAATTCTGAAGAGGGGATTTTTTTGAGGGAGAGGACAACTAATAGCCTGAAAAAGAAGGAATAACTTGGTGAACTTGGTCTTACAAATCTGGTTATTTTTTTAAATTGCATGAGTGCCATCTGCTGATTAATGGAAGTATAGCCACACACTTCTTTTGTTTTTCTCTGCTTCTCTTTTACTCTGACAAATTCAGCTATGCTAAGTATTGCTTCTGCAGTTTTTGAAATATTCTCATTCAATCTGATAACATAGTTCTTTTTTTAAAAAAAATCCCTAAAAATAACATTAACATAATAATAGACTCTTCCATTTACTTTGTTACATTGTAGTTGATGAAGTGCAATCATTTCTTGTCGTTTGTAGTACAGCCAATTCACCAGAGATCTGCATGGAACTTTTTTCTGATCAGGCCTCATAGAAAGCCATGCCAGACTGGATGCAAAATGAGAATGAAGTTGGGGTAGTTGGGAGATATTTCATGGGAGGAACAAAACTATTAGGAAAGAAGGATAGATTTTCGTACAATATTGCTAGAATAGAATAGAATAGAATAGAATAGAATAGAATAGAATAGAATAGAATAAACTTTATTATGGTTTGTGACTTGCTATGATTTTATTGATCGACTGATTGATTCTTATTCTTGCTTTAGCTCCTTCTCAGTGAAATATTCACAGCCAGAATTTCTAGCCTCTTTCACATCGTCTCATTTATTTCGAGTTTAGATATGCTCAGAGCTCAGTTTCTGATTTTTTTAAAAAAAATCTTCACAACTCTTTTTCGCATTAAGTTTTATTTGTTTTATCTAGTTACTAAACATAACATTTATCATTATATCCACTACACATCTAGAAATAATTTTCAAAATACCATGAAACTGGGTACATAAAAGCAAACAGTGTATCAAGCAAACACAATATGAGACATATTTTTTAATTAAAATGAAAAATTAACTATACAACTTTCTATAGCAATGAAACTCTGATGGTATCAAATATTTTTTACTACTTGCCTGAGGTAGAAAGAAACCAGCTCATTTCTCTTTAGAGTTCTTCAATTGCAATTTTGCTATAAAATACAGGAACAAATAATCTGGTTCCAAATTATCTAGAGATTTATAGCTCAAAATGAACATTTTGAATTGAAAGCAAAAAACCCTGAAAGCAAAAAAAAAAAGTAATATAATCTATAAATTACATTTGTGCAAAAGTCTAGCCCCTGCGTTTTTCATTCTTTCTAGTTTCCAATAATCTTATTTATAGTGTAAAAATAGGAGATGATTAAAGTATAATTCATATGCCTAGATTATCTTTCTTCAAGGAAAAGTGAAGTTAGCATGCCATATCACCATTACTGCATCAGGGTTACGGGTGCACATGTATGTGTTTATGGTAGTTGTCCCAATAGTAACTAAAATGGTAATTACTTTTTCAACAGAGCCACCCACTTGGGTAAGCAAACCAAAAAGCGGAATTTTCAGTGTTGGTGGAAGTTTTGTACTGTTTTGTGAAGCTATTGGCTTTCCTGAGCCAAGTATAAAATGGAAAAAGAACGGCATTCCTCTTGAAGGTAAGCATAGGATATAAACCTACAGTTCAATATAAACTGGCCTTTTCCAATGCGATGATTCCAGATGCATAAGATTTCGGCTTCCATTATTCCTAATTATTGGTCCTATTGACTAGATATGTTTCTTAGAATCCAACACCACCAAATTAGAGAATGCTGGTATGAAAGAAACCCAGTGAGATTGCTTCCATTTAATCAGTTTTATTGGACTAACTTCCCAGTAATAGAGTTATTGTGATTGAGTGACTATTTGTAATAGTAATAGTAATAGTAATAGTAATAGTAGTAATAGTATTGGAACACTGCTATCATGTCCCCCCTTGTCCTTCTCTTTGTTAAACTAGACATACCCAATTCTAGCAACCGTTCCTTATATGTTTTAGCCTCCAGTCCCCTAATCATATTTGATAAAATTGTCTGGATTCCTTTCATTCTCATAGATAATAAGCTGTGCCATTCCAGCCATAACGCATATAATATCAACTGATCTGCAATTGGAAAGCTAATTCCATCTAATCATTGACTGCAGCCATGGCTCCCCATAATTTTTGGCCCATAAATATGTGGGCATATTTAGATGGATGCTCTTGCATATAGCCATCGAGGAGATGTCCATTCAAAAATTAGCTTGCACAACCATTTAGAAATATTTTTAATATGCATACAGTATCTCTAGAAAAAGATCATTAAGACAAGGGATAACAACAAATGTCCTAGAAAACTAGAAAGGATGTCAGGGAACAATCTCACCAGTAATTTTCTTTGAGTATCCACTGCATGATCTCAAAATATGAGATGTATCAATTAACCCTTTCCCAAGTTAATATCTCTGTACTCCCCTATAAACAAAGTAAAGAACAATAATAGAAAGAAAATACTACTAAGAAAAGGCTGCCATATAAAGTGGTGAAGTTTCCTTCATCAAGGGTCTTCCAAAAGAGCCTGAATAGTCATTTTTTCAGAGATGCTCTACTACATAAGCAAGGGATGGACTGGATAACCTCAAAGGTTAACTTACAGCTCTCATGTTGCATAATTCTAAGAATCTTGGTTAAGAAAATTATTGTATTTAGTATAGGAATTAATCATGCCTATGGTAGATGCCTGACTAGCCCAAAGTGAAAAGTGAAATACAATTACAACTGCAATTGGCAGTGCTTTTTTTGTAAAAAAAAAAAAAAAAAGGGTGTCAGAACTCACACACATCATACAACCCGCCATGCCTACCCTACAAGGTTCCATCCCAAAAAGGTGCTGGAACGCCATTCTGGGTGTTCTATGACAAAAAAAGCCCTGGCAATTGGGACTATAATTTCCATTCTAAGCAAGATGGTTGTTAAATGTGTTGTGCATAATTTTTCAACCTTTTCCCTACCCCACTCTATGGCTGTTAAGTGAATCATTATAGTTATTAAGTGAATCATGTAGTTGTTAAGATAATTTGGCTTTCCTCATTAAATTTTTAGGGGAATATTTATACTTTCAAGTGCAGTTTATAATGCCTTGGTGGTCTTCTATCCAAGTATTAGTCAGGCATGGTCATGTTTAGTTTCCAAGTCCAGATAGGTTAAGTTTACTAGATTTGAAATTGAAGGTTAATACTAAATAACTTACCACTAGGGCAGAAACAAAGGTAAGTTTAGAAAGTCTGTTATGAAACTATGTTACTAGGAAAATAGATACCTGCAGTTTGTTTTAAGCTTTAAAGACTAACCATGTGTCACCAGCATGGTATGTATGGGTACAGCTAACTCATAATCAGGTCTAATACAAACCCTTTATGAGTAATTGCATCTAGAAATGTTAAGCTTAAAGCAAAATGAGTCTTATTTATGATGTCATTGTTTAACACTAATTGTTATTTGCATAATTAAATTTGTGCTAATGCAGCACATAATATAAAGATTAATGAACGGTCTCTACACATTCTTCTCTTTTCTGTACAACTAATATTTGCCAGAGGAAAACTTAAGTGCAAGTGAAGAATTGGAAGTCTCTTATTCAAACCATTTCTTATTGTATTGGCAGATAATGAAATAAAATCCAGCAGAGCTGTTTTTTCAACAAGGGAGATCAGCATCACTGACTTGGAACTGAGTGACACTGCTGTGTACCAGTGTGAGGCTACCAACAAGCATGGCACTATCCTGGCCACAGCAAACATTGATGTTCTCAGTAAGTTATTCTTACAGGGAATAGCACCAGGTTTTTTTGCTCTTACCTGCCAGCACAAGGATCAGAAAGGAATTTCGTTTGAAGAGAGCTACTGCCTCTCATAGGAGAAAATGCTGAGCTACATGGATCTAATTACATCTGTCTTTGTAAGCAAGATATGATATTAATTATTATCAATTAACAAGGTAACTAAGTATCTGGGAGATGGTATAAGGGTACATTATATTTAGGATGGTAGATCTATCCATTTTTTAAAATTAGAATGATCCATGCATCATCATAGTGACCCATCAAAAATGTTTAATACCTTTATTTCTACTGAAAATGGCATTTGTACAAATAATGCTAATTTAGCAGGAAGAGCACTATTTATACAGCTGAGAGAAATAAAGGGTGGACGGAAATAAAATATACCCTTCCGTGACAGATTTTAAAATCTAATTATTGCTGAACCAATTTTTCAACCAAATAGTTTCCACCCTTTTAAAATCCCATAGATCCACTAAAAGATGTATTTCATTTTCTAGCATTTTACAATGAGAAACCTAGTTGCTAAGAATATCATTTTATGTGCTTAGGAAAAATGGAAAATAGCCCAACAAAACAAAGGGGGAAAAAAAGCAACTTTGAGCCAAAAGGATACTGCCACCAAAGGTGACATATCTGTAAAGTTGCTTATAACACTATTCAGCAAACCCTACAATTAATACAGTGTCATTTTGATGGAGTGTGAAACCATCTCTGAATTCATGGTTTGTTTGTTTGTATCCTAATGAATAGCATAAATTGGGGTTAAATACTGTTACAAAGTGCAGGTGCCTTCAAACTTCTGTTTTGTGGTCAGAGCTTCCCCTTATGATTATGTCCCTGAAATTTGTTAACAAATTTCTAAATATAGATGGAAATTGGGAAGGTCAAAAAAGTGCATTAAATTCTCAGAAAAGCTTTAGCATATCTTAAAACTGCCCAAAGATCAGGAGGGTTCACTTCCATCTCTTTTCTACTAAAATTCCATTTGCATTGTTTATGATTGTGGGAAAAGTAGATTATTTTTTTCAGGAGTAAAATAAATATAGCTCAAAATCACAAAATTTGTCCTAGGATTAAGAATATTTATTTTTTATCACCATTGACTCTTTCTTTACTAATTTATGTATGCTTTGTCAGATATTCCTCCAGAAATATTAACTCCAGATGGTGAAGAATATGTGGCAGTAACGGGTTATTCAAGTCACTTGTACTGTCAGTTTTTTGCAGTACCCACACCAGATATTTCTTGGTAAGCTTTATTTTGTTTCCCTGGTAAGCTCTTTTGTCATAAATTGTTGTTGACATCTTTTAATCCGTTTATATTTGATTGCCAGAAAAAAAAGAATTTTCGCATTATATAAGCTACCTTTGTTTAAAATATTTCAAGCGTTAACACGATAGTGTTAATGAAGCTGTACTTTGTTAGTCACAGAAATGATAAGCTCTCAATTTGCTCAGAGGGTTTCCTTTGTCAATAATAAATTAGATGAATTCCAATGTAATTTTGAAAAGATACTGTTGTACTCCAATCCCCCTTAAAGTTTCCTACGAATTTCTTCAGATGGCAAAGAAGCCTGTCCCAGACTTAGCTTTATCTCTTTGACAGTATGTCTGAAATTAAACTAGACTGCCCTCTGTGTATTGTCTTCCTATTCTTTATCCATTTCTATGATCAAATAATTCTAAACACTCATGTTCTGCATCTTTTTTTGCCTTATAACATTGGCCAGCATCTTCACCTGAGCATTACATTAGCGAGAACATTCCAGAACTGTAAGCAAACAGTTGTAATCTACCAAATCTCTACAATCTGCAATATGTTTCCTTATTTTTCCCTTACATACACATATATACACAATGCACAAACAACTTTACATGATCAAATAAAGAATATCAATTGCGATTGATTTTATAGGAGCCATGGTTATGCTGGTTAGAAAGCTGTATTGCAGGCTAACTCTGCCCACTGCCAAGAGTTCAATCCTGACCTGCTCAATGTTGACTCAGCCTGCCAAGGTCAGGTAAATGAGGACCCAGATTGTTGGGGGCAATATTGTAACTCTGTAAACCACTTAGAGAGTGCTGTAAAGCACTATGAAGTGGTATTTAAGTCTTAGTGATATTGCTATTGCTATTATCCATATTTCCTGGATTACAGATCAGAGAGTAATGTTCCCATTGATTTTCTTGGATCCAAATTAGAGCTATCTACCAAATTATTTTTTTAATACTACAGAATAAAAGTGGAACCATCTGGTTTCCTACTTTCCTCTTCTTCCATCTCTGTGTACATAACAGGGTTAAAGCTGAAATAATCAAAGGCCACTCTCTTTAGGGCTGTCCATGCTAATTATCCCTAATTATTATTGGTTTTGCAGCTTTGAAAAGTTATGCACCCATTGAAGGATACATATAGAGATAGAGTATCTATATTTTATAGAGAATTAATCTTTATTTTAAATAAGACGGGATCACATTATTCTCCAAAGCACCAGAGGGCAGGACAAGAAACAACTGAACAAAGAGAGAAGCAACCTAAAATTAAGGAGAAACTTCCTGACAGTGAGGACAATCAACCAGCTTGCCTCCAGAAATCGTGGAGAAATCATCACTGGAGATTTTTAATAAGAAGCTAGACAGTCACTTGTCTAAAATGGTATAGGTTCTCCTGCTTAAACAGGAGGCTGGACTAGAAGACCTCCAAAGTCTCTTCCAGCTTTATTCTATTCTGTATCTATATCTTACTATTTTTTTAGTAAAAAAATAAAATAAAAATAGTTTTTATTTTTAAAACTATTTAAAAGTTTTCTTATATTTTTCTTTTCATACTTTTTAACATTTTATGTAATTTTATTTTTGCATTTTTATGATTTTTTTAAAAAATGTTTGTTCCTCTCCCTTCTTATGCTGTGCACCAATTACACCCACTCTTGTACCAGGAGGTCTGCTACCTGATCACACATGCCCTGGTCATTTCTTGGTTGGATTACTGCAACATGCTCTACAGGGGGCTACCCTTGAAAACTATTTGGAAATTACAACTGGTCCAGAATGCAGTGGCATGGACCATTTGGAGCATCCCACAGTTTGCCCATATTACATCACTGCATTGGTTTCCAGTTTCTTTCCAGGTGCAATTCAAGGTGCTGGTGAAGGAATTTTAACTTCTTTAAAAGCCCTAAATGGCACTGAGCCGAAACCCAAAGGTGCTCTTTCAAAAGGCAACTGGACTTTCTTTGTTTTTCCTTGAAGACATTTCGCTTCTCATCCAAGAAGCTTTTTCAAGAGAACTGAAGAAACTTCTTGGATGAGAAGCAAAACATCTTCAAGAAAAAACAAAGAAAGTGTTGACGCTGTGACAAACCAAACTGAAACCATTTTCATTTTGTCTCCGTTGCAACATATTTAGTTAGAAGAAGGAGGGAAGGGGGTAGTTCTCAGTTAGCCAAAACAATTCACATGTATGGGAACCAAGGTCATTGCTGGTAATATTTTGGTGGGCTGGAGCAGCTGGGAGGAGTGCCTGTGTTTCCTAAAAATTGGTGAATGTGATTTATGACAGCAATTTGGGGTGCGGAATGTAACTTGCAAGTTTGTAACCTAGGGGAAGAGAACTTAGTCTTGGGTTCACCTTTGTATGTGCCGTTATGTTGTAGCCAAATAAAAATGTTCTTTAAGGAAGAAATTCTTGCCTTGAAGTTCTTTTACATGGTCTCATCTATCGGAACTATGACAGGAAGTCCAGTTGTCTGGACAACCATGACCTTGATGATTGAGAATCTCCAAAGACACTTTGAGAATTTGCAGGATTACCTATCCATTAGGGAATCTACCTGCTTCCCTAGGTGTCACAGAATGGACAACTTGTAAGTCCTTTCTTTAAAAATTATCATATATCAGAACCTAGATAGGTTCTGTGCCTTTTCCATAGCTTCCCTACCTACTCTCTGAGATCCAGTAATCCTCTACACTCTGAGCCTTCCCCAAAACTTTAAAGATCTGATTTTTTCCACAAGAGATGGGATAGTGAGAGGGTGGAGCCCAGCATAGCTCTACAGTTTGTTTAGATGCATGGGAATATGCTGTATTTGGGGCACTGGGAAGTTGCATGCTGGTCTCTCTCTCTCTCTCTCTCTCTCTCTCTCTCTCTCTCTCTCTCTCTCTTCTCTCTCTCTCTCTCTCTCTCTCTCTCTCTCTGATTACTGTTTATTTTATTGTTTGGTATTAGCCACCCAGAGTTATGCCATGTAAGATGGATGACTATATAAATCTTTTAAAATAAATAAATCTCCCCACCTTCCTTTTCTCAGCACCACAAAAACCTGTGGAGGTCAAAGGGAAGGGAGGTAGAATTCCTCCATTTGGCCAAAAACCAATTTCTTGTCTCCAGTCCTTGAGTCTCCCTTTGTCATTTGTTGTACAGCTTGTCATAAATTTAAACTAAAATATGCTTTCTATAAGAAGACTAATAGAACAAACTCTATATGCAATGGCTTAATGGAGGTTAAGAAAAAACAGAGTAATCTCCGCAAGCAGGATGAAATTCTGTGCATAGACTGATATTTGGGGCCTTCGGTGTTCTCTGAACTTGTTGATTTTCTTGCAGACTTTGCATTACCAAGCTAGGTAGTCTCATTTCACTGATGATGTTAATTAGCTTGCAGCAAAATGTCTACAACAAAGCCACCAAGCTTAGAGAATACGAAGGACCCCAAATTTCAACTCTGAGCTGGCCAATATTCTCTTCTATCAGATTGATCTATGGGTGCAGATCATGACTGTTGAAATTTTCACTGGCCATGATAATAGGCCTTACAATGGGGGTGAGCTGAATCTACTTTGGATCTATCAGATTCAAAGACTCTTCAGTTTCTGGGGGCATCAGGATTACCTCCTCTATTCAAGCTTGAAAAAAAAAACATCACTACCAGTAATTTTATTTCACTCTGAGAGCAAACAAAAGATAGCAATGTGACATGTAAAGAAAAGCCATTCCTCATGTCTTCTACCTGGATTTCCCTCCATCTCTTTAGAATTGCACAAAGTTTAGGTCTCTGAAGGAAGGTGTATTCTTAATTGTATGCAATATCCTTCATTTGCTTTTTTTTTCTCAGCTGTCAAATTAAAACTAGCTTGCTATTACTTCTCTCTAGTCACTAAAAAAAGGATTGAAAATAACTTTTTTATAACATTGTTTTAAAAACATACCAGAGAACACTTTTGATCTTGGAAATTGGTCTTACTGCTTCTAGGTTGGTGCCATTGAATTATTTCTCAATACTATGCCTGCTTTTTTATAGGTTGTGCTTCTAACATGGCTCGTTCCAGGATTTTTCCTCTCTCGGATGAGTTAGTGTTAAAGGAAAGTTTAAAAATTATATTTATCAATAAGTAATAAATGCATACATCTGATTGCAAATTCCTTCCTAGGACTAAAGATGACAGCATGCAACTTCTTGAGGTGGATCAAAATGGAACCTTGGAGATTCGAGAAACAAGGAAGGAAGATGCTGGATTTTATACCTGCCTGGTGAAAAACTCTGTTGGGAAACGTGCCATCACTGCTACTCTCACTGTCAGAGGTGATATAAATGTGAACATAAACAATAGTTAAAGATTCAGTTAATTTTATTGCATACAATAAAATGCTTACACTTGGCTGGAAGGGTAGAATAAGAATTGCTGTTTGCCATTCACACATCTCTCTAAGCTGGCTTGTTTTCTTGCAGATGTTTCATTACCCAAACTATGTAACATCATCAGTGCTAGTGCCAACAGTCATGATGTTTGGGTAATGAAACATCTGCAAGAAAACAAACAAGCTCAGGGAACACCAAGGACCCCTCATTTTAACCCTGAGCTACACTCTCCTTTATTGAATTTACACATCTGTCTCAAATGATTAAAGTAGCCAGGAATCATAGCTGTAATGAGCCTGTTAGCTACAATGTTAAAAAGTAGAGAGGGAAAACAATGTTGCTGAAGTTGAATGGAATTATAACTTCTTCTTTATTTACAACTATTTATCATCATTTTCATTTTTTTCATTAATTTTGTCCTTTGTATATCAATAATGATAATGATGAAGATGATTAGTTTTTGTACATGCCTTACCATGTGAAAGTGTCAGTGTATAGTAAAAGTATTTTGAGATGTTCTCCATAAATATTTTGTAAAATGCACAATTTGTATGTTGGTAAAGCAAAACACATTTAACAACATATATTTTAAAAATGGGTATGTACATTTCTCTCACATGAAAAACAGGATTAATAGTTCATGATAAATTTAATATTTTATATTACATCAATTCCAGTAAATATTCCTTTTTTATAGGGATAAATAAGACAAAATGTGTAATTCATTTAGCGAAAGAGAGAAGCAACCTAGAACTAAGGAGAAACTTCCTGACAGTGAGAACAATTAATCAATGGAACAGCTTGCCTCCAGAAGCGTAAATGCTCCAACACTGGAAGTTTTTAAGAAGAGACTGGACAGCCACTTGTCCGAAATGGTGTAGGGTTTCCTGCCCGAGCAGGGGGTTGGACTAGATGACCTCCAAGGTCCCTTCCAACTTTACTACTACTATTATTATTAAGAACCTGCTATACATTTTGCCATCAAAATGCAATTTTACAACCAAATGATAAAATTGGCTGTGTGGGTTTGTGTTTTTTTTTCTCAAATTTTTAGATGCGACCAAAATTTCAATTATACCTAAGAATCCACAAGTTTTGAAATCACATTCAGTTTTACTGAAATGTCATTCTGAATGTGACCCACATTTGAAACACCAGTTTAAAATTTCTTGGAAAAAGGATGGAGAGGAACTGGAGATGAATGACACTGAGGATGGAAGGTAACAAGAGAATTCTTTTCCTGTAATATCAATTTGCATTTCACAGGAATAACCATATATATATATATATATATATATATATATATTGTACGACCGTCTGACTTTTATCATCTATTTATTTAGTTGTATATCTCACCTTTACTGTTTTTACAAATAACTCAAAGCAGCAAATACGTATATTCATCCTCCAATATTCCCCTCAACAACAATCCTGTGAGGTGAGTTGGGCCGAAAGTAACTGGTCCAAGATCACCCAGCTGATTTTTCATGGCTAAGGAAGGACTAGAATTCATAGAATCCCACTTTCTAACCTTGTGCCTTAACCATTAGATCAGGGGTGGACAACTACGGCCCCTTTAGGACCTGAACTATACTAGCTGAGGAATTCTGGGACTTGAAGTCCACAGGTTGTAAAGGGACCACAGCTACCCATCCTTCCACTAGACCAGGGGTAGGCAATCTTGGCTCTTTTATGACTCGTGGACTTCCAACTCCCAGAATTCCTGAGCCAGCCATGCTGGCTCAGGAATTCTGGGACTTGAAGTCTATGAGTCATAAAAGAGCCAAGGTTGCCTACCTCTGCACTAGACCAAACTGGCTCTCATCATGCTGTGCTTTGGGGTCGCTTCTGCATGAGGACTAACTGTGACTTCATGCTGTACAACCAACAAAGGAATAAAATGAAGAGCACAAGAGGAATGGGGGAAAAGGTACTCATATCACACAATGATCACAGGGCCAAAAAATGCACAATCAACAAGTGGAAATGGCCATTATCACTATACAACATCCTCAGTCCTAGTCTACACCACCTCACACACCACAAAATGGGTCACAAGAAAGAAGCTAAAATGTTTCTTCAATTAAAAGGTGGTCAATTGCACCAGTTGAAGACTGTGGCAACTGTCTTTAATGCCCCAGCAGAACAATCGCAGTCCCTAAGAGGTTACAGACAAATTGGCAAGAACAAAATATAAAAGAAGAATTTCCTTTTCTGTTATATAATCATCTATTTCCAGACCTCATTGAGCTGGACCAGTAGAAATCAAATCATGACCACTGTGCTATTATTTGCGTCTTGCAATGACTTTCTTGAAACACAAGGAATTGGATCGGATCACTCGTTGGCCAATAGAAAAATTGGAAAATTAAGACATCAAATTTGTAAAACAAATCGTAAAACATTTTAAGCAATATGATTCCTTTATATTCAATTAAATAACATTGTTATGGGCAGTGTTTTAAAAAGATACATAATTGAAAGTACAGTATATATGTTTATGTGTTATTTGCTGATAGTATCACTAATAAAGGATGATGTTCGCTTGGTTTCTTTAGAAGATATAAATTACATAGATAGTTTATAGAGTGTAAAAATAATACAAGAGGTATAACATTATAAAATATTATAATAAAATATTTATTCCAAAACCAAAAAAGCTTTAATTTATTTCTAACAGAGAACTTAATAAGAATAAGAAACACTCAATTTTTAATGAAAAATAAAATAAAGTATTTTCCTTATAATAATGAAAGGCCTGGAATATACCAGTAAATTGTTTTTCCTTTTGGTAATACTTTAAAGTAACTTTTAGTTCTGGAATAGAATAGGAATTTCCTTTGTGATCCTAGAAGGACCTCTGGTGGTGAAATGTTAGAATTTATATATCAACGTAGTAATAGGGAACATTGAAAAGTTTATAAATTACATGTCTTGATTATCAGTAAATTAGATTTGAAAAAATATTTAAAGATTTTTAAGAAGAGATTCTAAGTTGGCAGCCATTCATGTTCCCTGAAATAAAAATAAATCTGTGCAAGTTCTCCATCAAAATTGTTTTAAAAAGGAGATTCTACTCCAATTTTATAACCGTTTTGTGTAGTACACCATATACAAATGTATATATTTGTTGCAAATTATGCATGAGCTCATACATCTTGCATATGTGAAACCATTGCAGGATCATCACACTACTGACATGTTTGTCTCATATTTATCTTTTAAAATGTTGATATTTACAATATTCAGGAGCTATTTATATCATGATTCAGAAAACTGAATATATTTATATGGAAAGTGAAAGATCCCATTTATTTTTTGTCAGTACTATATGAGAATTCCAGGGTATTCCTGCTTGCACATATAAGTTTTCTTCAATTTAATTACGGTAACACAATGCAAAAAAAATGTATTTCTCCTTTAATTAGACTGACTTTGATAGAGGAAAAATCCAGTTATAATTTTTTCCCATGTTAGGTATTGAGAGGCCTGGGGGAAAAAAAACAAACTACCCACTGAATTGACTCAAAGAAGGTTGGACTGCTTTTAGGATCTTGGATCTGGTTGCATAGAAGACTGGGTGTCCCTTTCAAACCATATTAATTATTTTCAGTTTCTCTAAATGGAGTATTATTTATTTATTTTATCAAGTTTTAAAGTTTCCCATCTCTCTCATAGTGGGATTCTGGATGAAGTACAAATAAAAATAGTAAAACATAAAAACAGTATATAAAATTTGAAGTGTAAAAAGGCAACGATGAATACTGCATTCCATTTGGGTCACCATGATACAAAAAATATGTTGAGACTCTGGAAAAAGGCAGAGAAGAGCAACAAAGATGATTAGGGGTTGGAGGCTAAAAAAAAGAAAAACTAGTTGGAGGAACTGAAAATGTCTAGTCTAGTGAAAAGAAGAAGTGGGGTGACGTCATAGCAGTGTTCCAATGTCTAAGAGGTTGCCATAAAGCACCTGAAGGTGGAACAAGAAGCAAGGGATGGAAACTAATCAAGGGGAGTGCCAACCTAGAAATAAGGAGAAATTTCCTATTTGAGAGAACAATTAACCAATGGAACAAGTTGCCTTCAGAAATTGTGGATGTTCCATCACAGAAGTTTTTTAAGAAAAGATTGGACAGCAATTTGTCCAGAATGATATAATAATAATAATAACAACAACAACAACTACTACTACTACTACTACTACTACTACTTTATTGTCACTTTGAAAGTATACCAGTTGGCATACATCAAAATGAAATTTCATTGCATACAGCTCTCAAAGGGTCACCACCTCCGATATACTCTCCTTGTTCGTGGCCAGCTCAAGTTACAGATCTTCCATTTTAGTCTCTAGGGAGCGAACGATGGCAAACAGGACAGATGGAAATGGAGCTTCATGTGGATTAGCCCTCAAATTAGCTTGTATTCCTTGCCTCCTTTCCTTTTTCTGATCCTGTCTCTTCCACCTTTTCCTTAAAGAGGCCTCACTCCTTTTCGCCCCTGGAGAATGCTGCCGCCACCACCAACTCCTCCAAAAGCCTCTCTCCCATCCTCTGGGCCTGCTGACAGCCTCATCCAGTTCCTTCACTCCATAAGCCCCGGGACCTCACCTCCTCTGCCTCCTTTGGAAACAGCCCTTGTTTGCAATAGAATCTGTCGCTGGGCCAGATCTTGCTGCCGGCAGAACAATTTCAAACAACACCAACAACTTTTAACGGTCTCACCAACAGTTCCGAAACAGCTAGAAACTCGCCATGCCAGCAAAGATTGTCAGTCATATGTTGTATGTTACCTTAGTTCCACCACATTGCTCAAACACATTAAAACCTTCCTGATCATATGGCCTATAGAGTCTCTTGCTTGAGCAGAGGGTTGGACAGAGGACCTCCAAGGTCCCTTCCAACTCTGTTATTCTGTTAATTAAAAAGCAGTGTGAAAACTAATTAAAGGGCAGGGAGAGGGCTTTCAGGGTGCTGACCAGCCCTACAGCTGCTTGCTCTGATATAAGCCACAGGCAAGGATCAAACACCTTTCTGAAAGGAGACTGGGGGCCTGCCTCATCTATGTGGGTAGAAAATTAGTTCTTTATTGTAGTTTTACATTATGGTGTATTATTTCTATATTAACATAAGTTGACAATTCCACTTTTCAAAGCTTTTAAATTCTACACACACAAACACACACACACACACACAAACAGACACACATGCATGTACATTGAATTTATATATAATAAGCAAATTAGATGAAAGATGAGCTGCTCCTTGGTTCAGGAAAGTGCAAAATGCGTAGCTCTGGTATATAGATATGCCATTTGTATTTTCCCTTACAGAATAATTATTAAAAAGGATACATTGGTTATACAAAATGTGGGCCCAGAAGATGAAGGACTGTACACTTGTGAAGGAACTACATTGCTGGATAGCGCCACAGACGATTCCCGTGTAATTGTCCTGGGTAAGTGAATTTTGTTCTTCTGTTCACAAACTAATTAATATTGCCAGTTTAAATCCCTTTGGATTTTGGGGGAAACCTATTCTTAGTGCATCTCTGCAAATTAATGGATTCAATTCCCAATTCTAGACCCAATAACAGTGTTAGTTTGGTTCACTAGAGTGAAATTCCCTAAGTTCTCACATAATCTTCAGATTTTTCCCAATCTCCTTTTTCTGACTGGATGTAAAAGTAATGAAGATGTCAAGGTTACATGCATTACATAAATAAAGATATTAAAACACTTTCATTTTTGAATTTACTGTATTTCTTTAGCCAATTCCTAAATGTAATTTTATTTCTTTAGTCATGTAATTCAAGGCAATGCACATAATATCCCCCTCTGTCAGCTCTCCAGGGTAAACCAGACAAGAGGCATGACTAAATGAGCTAAATCTAATTTATTGTGAGGCTACATTAACAGAATCTTGAAAATCTGAAACTACAGACTTCCCCCACCACTTTTTTGTTGTTTCATCCATTAAGGCCTGATCTTTTCTAAGTTTCTTTTTCTCTGATGGTTAAGCCATTGGGGGTTTCCGCCTCCCTTGCAGCATCTCTTCCCCGTCTTCCTCCAAGGTCATTCCAACATGCCATTACACCATCCAAGGCATTTACCAGAGCCAGGCTGGCTTAGCTTCAGAAATTGAATCTTCATAGTAGAGGCATGACATAATGCTACCAATGGAATTGAGATTTTAAGGAGGTGATTGAGCATGAAGAAAATACTGCAAATAATTATAATAATGAATAATTGCAAATGCAGCATGGAAACAAATCAAACATCCCTTGCAAATATTTGACAGGAGATAAACAGTGTATGAATTGATTAAATAGAATGTGTTAAAGGAAATGTATGCCACAAAGTTCAAACCTGACCTCCATGGAGAAGGAAGATAGAAAAATAATAGCTTAATTAAATATATTCAACAAAGCTGTTTGATTATAATTCCAGTAGCTCCATTTAATATTACAATGACTCAGTATACTGTCACTTAAATTATTTTACCTCGAATGTGGATATCCTGGCTTTTCCAGCTGTTAAAAGCATTGTTCTTTATTAAGTTTGAACACATTTTCAGATATTTGTATAAAGAGCCTTGTGTAATTTTGATTCATTTGTAGCTGCAATTCCTTTTACCTCCCTGGAATTGCATTAAAATCACATGTAGCTGCCAATTTCATCAAAGGACCGAACATGCTATATCTATTCTTTTAGCCTTAGCAGGAAACCATGTCTTACTGGGTTTTTTTAAAAGGATCTTGGATTTCTATTTTAAACAACCTTTAATAGTCAAGTATTTATGTAGTATTCTTCTCTACATTTATTTCACTTCTTTCCTAATTGCTAAGACAGTTACTCAATAAGAATCTGATTGTGGCTGAGACAAGAAATAAAATTTGACCTTTGTTGGAAACTTTTCTAGCTATTACAGCAGAAATATATATTTTTCTCCATTAGAGCAGAAAGAAATATATGTCATACATAAAAAATACATCCAAATTACCACTAGAATAGAAATGAATTTTGCTTGAAGCCAGTATGGAACTACAAAAAAGAAAGCCCCTTATTCCTTAAAACTAGAGGTCTATTTGAAATTATCTCATTCTTTTGGTTCCCAGCGCTCTAAATAGTCCGACAATCCTCAGAAGTGAATTTTCGGAACTGATTCCTACTGTGTTCTGTTTTTGTTGATGTTTTGTTCTACGGTTCACCTTTGCAGCTTTCCAGATAAATTCACCTGTTTCTACACTATCTGTCAATCTTTAAAGCATTGCAGATACAATTACATTCCTTTGATGTAAGGATAAAGAACATCAGACAGCTCTTGCTGACTGAGGGTGAGCTTTTTTCCCTCTGAGACTATTAGGAAACATGAAAGGCTATGGGTACAGCTGATAATATCAAAAAGGGCTCCATGATTTGTGCTGTATTTTCTTGTGAAAGACACATGCATGTTGAAAGAGGAAGCAAGACAGATAATCAGCCAGTCTGACGGAGTAATTCTGTTACCTGCAAGCATTGGGAATTGTGCTCTTCTGCCACTGAAAGACACCAAACTGAAGATGGGCTGAGTAGTGTTTTTTATTCTGACGGCTTGTGAGGTTTCTTCTGAAAAACAGATGTAGTCGCTGTTTTAAAGCACAGTTGAGTTTGAGAAGGTAGTTTCTCCAAGATTCTTAAGATGAACTTGTCAAGCCCTTTTGAAGTTTATTCTAATTCAAACATAGTGTCAGGGCTTCAGCTAATAATAAAGAGGAACCAAATGACAGTAATTGTGAACAACCTTGCTATTTTCCACTGGTAATAAAAAACAGCTTTTGTACTTTAATCAAAAAAGCAACTTCCGTAAAGTTTGACAAATAGCATTATATAAGCCCAAGTTATTTAACTGTGTGGGATGATTCTTCTTTTTTCTTGTAGAGACTGTTGCTGAGAGCTGGCAATTCATTTATTTTATACATAGCAGGCTAACTGATCAGTTTTAAAGACTTATTAGATGTTCCAAATGCCACCCCCCCCACACACACACAAAGCAACAGGATGTTAGGGATGTTAGAGGTTTTCTAACTCATGTCCACTTGTTCCAGGATTGAATTCCTTCTAGCCATTTGATCTGTTCTGAGAACTTTTCTTCTCTTTTTTTGGCCTTTCAATGCTTGATCCTACCTCCATTTGTTTACTTGGTAATTTCTTGACTGGTGAGGCATATAGGCTCTCTGCCCTTCATTGGGCAAATCTCCTTTGCACCCAAAGTTGATCCCATTTTTGGTCAGCTGTAGTTAATGGAACCCCAGCTGGGCAAAGTCAGTCAGCAAAACAGGACTGCTGAGATATAACTACTTTTAGATAGCTTCAATCAAGTAAATCTAAGTGTTTTAGACTTTTATCTCTTTACTTTCATTTCTTCCTTGGGAACACAAGCCCTCCTACTTCTGAAGCCTCTGTTTCACTGTCTCTATCAAGTCTAACAGCAGACAGCCTAAACCTAACTCTGATCATGCTTTTTTAACTCATAGGACTGGAAGGGACCTTGGAAGTATTCTAGGTACCCTGATTTCTTCTGATTCTTAAATATAAGCTAGTTATAGGTCCACAAAACCAGGAGTTAAGTTCTTTATTTTTATCGGCTGTGTCAGGTTTTAATTTTTGAATTGTTTCTCAACTTTAATGCAACCTTCTGGGTTGCACAGAACTTTGTTGATAAATCTCATTATGGTTTGGTGAGCTTAAAATTGCCTACTGTAGTTAAAAGTCATTCTTGCATTTCTTTCCTATTTTTTAGATGTCCCTGACCCACCAGGAGACCTCCGACTCTCCGAAAAACAGGCGAGAAATATTAGATTATCTTGGAGCCCTGGAAGCGTTAACAATAGCCCAATTAATGGTAAGAAGGATTCTTCTGCCACAGACTGGCTTTTATAAAGTGACACTAAATAATTAGCCTTGAATTAACCATATATCCTAAATGAAAGCACCGCCGAATTAGTTTGCTGTTGAAGGTCTTTGTTGTTAATCATCTTTTTCGGTTCTCTTCCACCTGGTTCCAAGGTGATTTACTTCCTTAATTTACAGGCTTTGCTTATTGGGTTTTTTTCTCCTCTCCTTTCTAGAATCCATTGTGGAATTTGAAGAAAACCGATTGGAGCCCGGAAAGTGGCAGGAATTAATTAGGCTTCTACAAAATGACACTACAGTTGTTTTACCACTGATCCCTTATATAAATTACCAGTTCCGTGTTATATCTGTCAATGCAGTTGGGAAAAGTAAGCCCAGCGAACCATCAGAACGATATGAGACACCTCCAGCTGGTATGTATTGTTAATTGCTTTGTACATAATTATATTGCAAATGGTGAAGAAGGTATACTGATATGCAATGCACCTAACATATGATCAGAGTGGTTATTTTGCATTTGACAATTTGATCTTTTGGTGGGGAGAGAAGCTAAATACGCAATAGAAGAGTATAACCGTTTTGGTTTGTTTGTTTTTGAACTTTTTATTTTTTACTCCCTTGTGTATTCTCTTAATTATGAATCTAGGGTTGAATGTGTTTGATTTTTTTTAAAATTCTGGTTATCATTTTTGGAAAAAGTTATCATTGAGCTGGAAGAAAGAGATCACGCAAGTAAGTTCAAATGAAAGACTAGTCCTTCCTGAATGATCTAAGGAAGGATCTCATATAACAGGGGTCCCCAACTTTGGCAACTTTAAGACTTGTGGACTTCAACTCCCAGAATTCCTCAGCAGCTTTGCTGGCTGAGGAATTCTGGGAGTTGAAGTCCGCAAGTCTTAAAGTTGCCAAGGTTGGAGACCCCTGTCATATAACACATAATTTTACTAAAAAGTAGTAGGAAACATTTTATAGACTAAATGTTTATGTTGATTCTCAGTCATTCAGGTTAGATTGTCCCAAAGGTGCTTTTTTAAGAGGCGACTGGATTGTCTTTGTTTTTCCTTGAAGATCTTTAGCTTCTCATCCAAAAAGCTTCAGTCAGAACTGAAGAAGCTTCTTGGATGAGAAGTGAAACGTCTTCAAGGAAAAACAAAGAAAGTTCACTTGCTTCTTGAAAATGCATTTTTGAGATCTTTTAGGCTACATATCCAGCCACAGTAAATTTGTTACAATTTCTAAAGTTTAAAGAAAGACATATAATTTAGAAAGTAAGTGAGTCTCTTCTTTCTGGAAAAAAAGATAATTCCTAGGTAGACTTAATTATTGCTACTGTTCATCCTGCTATGAATCTGAAGAAGCAAACCATACTAAAAATTCATTTCCATTAGGATTGTGACATAATTTACTTTAATCTCCACTGGATACTCTTGTTTTTTATGGACATAAAATTCTAATGAAACGAACAAGAAACTGTTTTTTCTTTTTTTTACATTTCCATGAACTGATCTGCTTTGAAGGGGTCCTAGGGTGTTATGAATAGAATTCCCAATTAACTTGAACTTCCTGCAAGATTTAATGTGATTTATTTCAAATTCAGTCCCACCTTTCTTCATACAGGCATGATTTTTGAATAGGACTTATCAGAATATAAATATTTTTTATTAAATGATTAGTCTCTGACAATTTTCTGTTCACAATCAACTTTTCTTGGTATAACAGGAACTAATTGGTTGCTGAAACAAATGTTTTGAATGACTTATTGATTTATCTTCCCCTGATAATCATTAATGTTGTTTGTGTATTTCCCTAGCTTTCCAGTTCCAGGCCTTATGTTAATGATATACTTTCTGTTTTTCCAGTGCCACTGAGCCATCTTTTTAAAATAATTCCATTAACATCTGCTGCTTTGTGAAAATTACTATTTCTTCTAATCCTGTCATTTTAATGAAAATGGCTAAATCCATATTATTTGCATGCTTTTTTCTTTCCTCTGCCCTTTTCAGAATTTTGTGACATGATTTTCAAGTATAAATGACACACAGACACGAAACATGTATTGTATTGTATGTATGTATGTATGAATATATGTGTATATTAAAGGAAGGTAGACAAGCAAACATGTTGGAAAAATCACTTGCAGAAGTATCTATTCTAGAAAAAGAAAGTTCAAAATATAACTGTTAGAAGAAAAGCAAATTAGTACAGATGTTAACATTGAAGGTTTGGAAATTGTAATTTACAAACTGATTTCTTGAAGAATGAATCTCTCTCTAGCTTTATCATCTCTCTCTATCATCTCTCTCTCTCTCTCTCTCTTAGTATTTTAAAATTGCCAGTATTTTAAGGCAATTAATTTTAGTTATTAATTTACTTTTTCTTCTAGCCCTGTCCAATTCTGAACATGGTATGCTTGTTTGCCACAAACTATTTTTTTTAAGATGAGGGAAGGGAGTTTTCAAGATTAGTTTTAATTGGAATTGTCAAATCAATTATGATGCATCATAAAGACCATAAATAAAATAACATATAGTTGAGCATTATGTAGGATTTTAATCTTCATTTAAAGATTTTTTAAAAAAAAATATTTAAATTGAAATTTAAAGGTTAAAAAAAATCTTAAATATTGTACTGCTCTTGGATATATTTGCAATAGAGAGATTAAATAAAAATTGCTTAATTTAATTATTCCTGCATTGCAGCTCCAGATAAGAACCCAGAAAACATTAGAATTGAAACTTCCAAACCACATGAGATGAACATGACATGGGAGGTAACAATTTTATATAAATGTTATGGAACTTTTTGTTATGATATGTCACCCAACTTTTAAATAAGCTCCAGTGCACACAATGGGATACCATTTGACTGAATATATAAGTCATGGTTAAAGAAAACACTTGGAAACTGCACTTGTAGAGTAGTGAGGGTTAATGATGAAATTGTCACATTTTAAATTCATGCTAAAATTCCATCTTGCCTTTTCTTTGTTATTATTTTCTGGCCAACAATTATAAATTTAAATTTCTCTTAAAAATTATCTGGAGGTCACTAAGAATAAGTGAAACTTTTATTTATTTGATCAAAATAATGCTGCTTTGGATTTTCTCTTCCCCAATAATAATTTTATGGAAAGCCTCATTCAATATAACAATTCCTGGCCGAAAATTTAGAAAGAAAGCTCATACTATAGTGCTGTGTGCATCATTAGTATGGTTGTCCTGCCAGCCAGGTACATGCCTTCTAGCCTGTGAATTGCAAAACTAGGTTAACTATTTTGCATTTATTCTCTTAGTTTGGTATTTTCCCGAAATTCCTGTGAATGAAGTCACAATGCTGATTATTCATACAAAGTTCCAAAAAGTCTTTAAAAGCCTGGATTTAGTCTCAGGCCTAGGGTTATTGTGTTGGGGGAGGAGAGGCTGGCATGTGTTATTTAAATGGCTACTGTCTTATTTCATTCTATTTCTTTTATTATTTAAATTAGTGTTATATTTTATAAGCCACCCAGAATTCACTATATTAAATAACAATAATAATACTATAATTGAAGTTTGCCATTTATTGAGTAAGCCCAAAAAAACACTAATAGGCTTTGGATAGCATGATGGGCATGCTATAGATAAATAAATACATTTGCCTTGTTACAGTATCCCTTTTCCAATTTCACTTTTGGAAGAATGTAGGAAAGTGAGAAGTTAATTACATTTTATTCTTTGATGTGTAGAAAGATAGCATTATAGATTTTTCAAGATTTAAAGGGGTCCATAGGTGTCTGGACAATGTCAAAATGGTGGTTGCAACCAGGTGATTTAAACTGTGCCCCTTTTTGCATATGCACATTAAGTATATCATGCATTTAAAAAGATGGGCTTTCATTCCTTAATTACCCTCCTGTTTTGACATCATTAACTATACCGCAGATAACTTATTTACAGTCAGTTTTGTTATATAAATTAAGGTTTCTTCCTTGAAGAATAGTGCTGTTGATGGTGTTGGTGTTGCAACATTTGATTCATTTTAATGGAATAACGGAGTTGGAACGGACCTTGGAGGTATTCTAATAACCTCCTGCTCAATCAGGAAACCCTATACCATTTCAGACAAGTGGCTGTCCAAACTCTTCTTAATACACTCCAGTGTTGGAGCACCCACAACTTCTGGAGGCAAGTCATCACACTGATTAATTGTTCTAATTTTGACTTCATTTGCAGCCATTAAAGCCCATGGAGCAAAATGGACCTGGTCTGGAATACAAAGTGAACTGGAAACAGCAGGATACCAATGAATGGGAAGAAGAAACAGTGCAAAAACATTTCCTAGTATTGCAGAACACCCCTACTTTTGTGCCTTATGATATCAAAGTCCAGGCAGTGAACAAGTATGGATCTGGCCCTGAACCTAATATAATTACTGGATATTCAAGTGAGGACAGTAAGTAATGGAAGATACAAACTATCACACACACACACACACACACACACACACACACACACACATATGGTTTTTCAAATTCAAAGGTGCTGAAAGGTGATCTGACTGATGGAAATTATATTATGGATAAATATTCTGCTACAGAACATTTTCACAGGTCAGTGCTCCGATAATATTAGTAACCTTGGGAGTTGTTTAAAATCCTGTATTTTTCTGGGTTTATCATCAGAATTGCCAGACATAACAAGAGACCTGATGAGTCAGGCCCATCTGATACTCTGGGTCTATCTATGGAGATTCTCAGCCATCCAGTTCATGGCTGCCCCAAAGATGCTTTTTCAAGAGGCAAGAACTTTCTTGTTTTTCTTTGAAGACATTTTGCTTCTCATCCAAGAAGCGACTGGACTGGATTAGACTGGGATGGGATGACTCACAGTGGCCAGGTGGCCATGGCTAAGTAGGCATGGCTGGGTGGTCACAGCTGGGTCACTGTGACTAGTTGGGCATGGCTGGCTAGGCATGGCTGGCTCAATATGGGTGGCTCGATCCCACTTACTTGGCATGGTTGACTCTGATGGAGCAAAGCCAAACTTCTACTGCCTTGACAGATCTCTGGAAAGCAAGAAGAGGAGACAGGGAAGCAGAGCTCCCTGATCCTGCATGAAGGAGGCTGGCCTTTCTCGAAAGGGAATCCCCATTTCCAAGCGTGCATGGTAAGGATTCAAGACTTTTATCCACATCTGAGCTGGCAAACTGCCAATCATGCCTGGATTTGGGGAGAAGGACCTCTCCTTCCTCTGTGGATAAAAATGTCGTGGTTCTGACAGATGAAACCATTTAAAAGAACTTCAAGGCAAAAATTTCTTCCTTAAAGAACATTTTATTTAGGAAACAAAAGTATTGACACTTATATAGGTGAACCCAAGACTGAAAGCCCCTCCATCAGGATACAAAGTAACAAGTTTCAATTTCCACCCCAAATTGCTGTCATAAATCACATTCACCAATTATCTCAAAATGTGGGCTCTCCTCCAGATTTTCAGCCTGGCCAAAACCCTGACCTTGATTCTCACAAAGAAGTATTGTTATGGCTAACTGAGAAACTTAACATCCTCCTCCCCCCTCCTTCATCTAAAATCTCTAAACTAAACTGTGGCAACGAAGACAAAATGGAAAATAGTTTCAGTTCAGTTTGTCGCAACATTGACAAAGAGTCACAAAACTTGGAATAAGGTGGGGGGTAGGTGTGTTTGTGTGTGTGTGTGTGTGTGTGCACATGTGCTTGGCTGCAAGCAATTTGAGGAGGCAAGGAGCTTGTGGGGCACTGACTTGTCATCGAATTAGCTGGTGTATCTTGTTCTGTGCCAACCAGCCATCCTGAGTCGATAGGGCTGAGTCAGCTGTACCTACCCAGCCATGCCTACCTAGCCACCTGGCCATACTGAATCAACTGCACTGAGTGAGTGGCATCAAGCTGGACATATCCATCCAGCCATGCCCACCCATCCATGCCCAGCTAGTCATGGTAACCCGCATCCAACCACCCAACAATGCCTACCCAGCCATGTCCACCTGGTAGCTGTGAGTCATCATAGACCCGGACTGGAATGTGAAAGCTCTTTCATTACTTTTACCAGCAACCTTCACTTATCACACATTGCCCATGATTCAATAGGTAGTGAATTGTCATCAATATTAGTATATCCTGATTGACTATGAACTTGTCTAGCCTGCTGTAAAATTGTCGATTGTCACTATTGCAGTCAAAAATTTATACAATTTCCTGCTCCTTTCATTACACACATACTCATGCACATGAACACTTATACTCATGTAAGAGCTGAAAAAATCTCATGTAAGAGCTGGAAAAGAACCTGAAGATATATATATATATAGTGGGGGTTTCTTTTTGGAAACCAAAAAGAAACCCCCACTAAAATCCAGGACAAAGAACAAGAAAACGGCAAAGCCCTCCTCCCATACATAAAAGGCACCACAGACAGAATCAGTAAGATCCTCCATAAACACAACATCAAAACAGCATTCTGCACAAACAGAAAAATATCCACCATCCTTAGAAACCCCAAAGATAAAATTGAATTAGAAAATCAAGGAGTATACGAAATCCCATGCACCACTTGTCCCACCACATACATCGGACAAACCAACAGAAGAATAAGTGCACGCATTGAAGAACATAAGAACTCAGTCAAAAAAGAGGAACCAACATCTTCCCTGGTCCAACACCTTAAAGCCACAGGACACGAAATTGACTTTAAAAATACCAGAACCATTGCCAAAAGTGAACATTTTAATAACAGAATAATCAGAGAAGCCATCGAGATAGAAAAACGCCCACACAGCATGAACAAGCGAGATGATACCTCCCGCCTACCAGCCATTTGGAAACCCACCCTTATTGACAAACGACTCCCTAACACAAAAAATGATACCAGACCCACACTCACAAAAACCACACAGGATGTCACCACCACACATCCACGCAAAAAGCAAATCCAAAGCCACACCGATGATGAGGCACGACCACAAACCAGAAGCCAGACCACAGCTGCATCATTAGCCACTTTAAACCCCTCCAATCCATACATGAAGCAAACTGACACCCTCCGTGAAGATGAGGCACGACCACGAACGCGAAGCCAAAAAATAGCAAGGCAGCCCAAAATCTTAAACCCCCCTGCAACTCAGACTAACCTGAGCACAACCAAACAGAACACTCCCCCAGCCAATCAGAGCACAGCCAACCCCCAGCCAATCAGAGCACAGCCACCCCCCCAGCCAATCAGAGCACAGCCACGCCCCTAACCAATCAGAACACACCTCCACCCAATCAGAACACAGCCAAGCTCCCACCCAATCAGTTCATACCCCCACTGGCAGTTAAAAGGAAGAAACAGCTAAGACCACACATTGCTCCTCGAAGCACGAAGCTGAAAGCACCAGCCTGAAGATGACGAATGGGACTTCGTCGAAACGTCGCCAAGACACTTCCAATTTTACGTGGGAGAAAACCCGAACAACCAAAGACATATATATATATATATATATATATATATATATATATATATATATATATATATATACTGTTAAAATCAATAAATAGTCAATCACCAAGAGAATAAAAATATAAAAATATAAAAGATTTTATTTACTGAACCTAGTTTTCGTCAAGAGCTCTTGACATCAGGGTGTAAACGGTAGTCATTGGGAAAGCTTATATGCAACCACTAATCATTTACAGGGTGTAGCACACAGCACTCTAGACACTGTATGTACGTGTGTGTGTGTGTGTGTGTGTGTGTGTGTGTGTGTGTATTTCTCTTTCTGACAAACAGTTAAAGAATTAAATTTGAACCCATAAAGGGTGTGGCTAACTGAAGAGAGCAGAATGAGCTCGAAATGGCCATCGTAGTCTCCCAATTTAATTCTTTAACTCTTTGTCAGAAAAAGAAATTTTGGACTTGTAAATGTTTCGCAGTTGCGACTTGAGCCTGCTTAACGCCCCTAGTTGGGGGGCTGCAAGGCAAAAGAGATTGTAAAAAGTATAACTGCAGTATAGCAGTTAAAAATGTCAAGGTGTAATCAATCAGACCAGTCTGTCTGAAAAACTTCCTGTATATATATGTATGTATGTATGTATGTATGTATATGTATATGTATACATATATGTATATGATATCCTGTACAATGTCATAGACTGGTCAGAGAAATAACATTGGATATTCTAACATAATTTTACCCTACCAAGGATTTTTGGGAAATAAAAAATGCCTGCCTTCTTTTCATCATACAAAATAAAAGAAGGTGGCTGTAAAGAAATTAAATTAATATGCAGTCAATAGCCTGAAAGATGTTTGCACAGCATTTTTATTTTAATTTAATTTTATTGTATTTATTTGTATCCCACCTTCATTATTTTTAGAAATAATTCAAGGCAACAAACATATCCAATGCACCTCTTCCTCTTCCTGTTTTCCCCACAACAACAACCCTGTGAGATGGGCTGGGCTGAGAGAGAATGATTGGCCCAAGCTCACCCAGCTGGGCTTTCATGGCTAAGGTGGTACTTGAACTCACGGTTTCCCACTTTCTAGCCTAGTGCATTCTGAGAAAAAGGGAAACACAATATTAATGACTTTGCTATTTTCAAGAGTATGGGCAATAGTTAGAAACAAGAAATATACAGGATCTTGATAATGACTGCACCCGCTTAGAAAGCACAGAAATCTGATTGTTTTTGTTGTTAGTTGTGAAGTTGTGTCCGACCCATCGCGACCCCATGGACAACATTCCTCCAGGCCTTCCTGTCCTCTGCATCTTCTGGAGTCCATTTAAGCTCACACCTACTGCTTCAGTGACTCCATCTAGCCACCTCATTCTCTGTCGTCCCCTTCTTCTATTGCCCTCAATCTTTCCCAGCATTAGGCTCTTCTCCAGTGAGTCCTTCCTTCTCATTAGGTGGCCAAAGTACTTGAGTTTCAACTTCAGGATCTGGCCTTCTAAAGAGCAGTCAGGGTTGATCTCCTCTAGGACTGACCGGTTTGATCGCCTTGCAGTCCAGCGGACTCGCAGGAGTCTTCTCCAGCACCATAGTTCAAAGGCCACAATTCTTTTGCATTCAGCCTTTCTTATGGTCCAATTTTCACTGGAAAAGAAAGGGAATGGCTGATTTGAACTAAACTTCAGAATGATTTTCTTGTTGCAGTTCCTATTTGTAGTTCATAAAGTCAAATTCTAGATCTTTTTGGTCTTGCCCCTCCCAGGCCATGCTCCAGAGGCTCCAGGCCGGTGGAGATGGTCAGGTTCCTGACCTGGAATGTTATTGGCTTAAACGTGTCCCAGAAACGAAGAAAGATTTTCCATTATTTGAAACAACATAATAATGATTTGATATGTTTGCAGGAGACTCATATAACTTTAAAGGATTCTAAATTTTTGATGAATTCCCGTCTGGGCACACATTTTACTGCTCCAGCCCCTGGGAAAAAAGGGGGAGTGGTAATTTATGTGAAGAAAACTTTTCCAGCTAAACTAATTGAGGTTGATTCTGAAGGAAGATACTTTTTGTGGAATTATTATTACAAGGCCGAAAGGTTCTTATTGTTGGACTATATGCTCCCAATCAACAACAGAAACAATTTTATAAGTTGCTGCATGGCAAGATATCTCAGTTGGATTATAAATCGGTAATTTTGATGGGTGACTGGAATGGGGTTTTAGACCCAACTATAGACAAAAGAAGTTCCTCTAAAACTTTTATTCAAACTAAATTACCTATGACTTTCTTTGATTTGAAGGAAGAATTGGAGCTTATTGATATTTGGCGAGAAAGGAATACAAGTGATAGAGACTTTACCTTTTATTCTGATAGACACCAGTCATTTTCAAGGATTGATTTTTTTTTTGATTACTAGTGACTTCCTCCCTAGAGTGAGGAAGGTGAAAATTTTTCCTAGAACATTGTCAGATCATAGTCCGGTGTGGATGGAGTTATATTCGGAAGACGGGAATAGAAGATCCTGGAGATTGAATGAGAACTTATTTAATTGGGAGGAGTTCGTACAAAAGTGTAAAGAACATTTAAAGGACTTTTTTACTATAAATATGAATAAGGGAACATCGATGTCTATGGTGTGGGACGCTAGTAAAGCATATATGAGGGGAATTTTGATTCAATTGAATAAAGTTTTTAGGGAAAAAGGGTCACAAAGACGTAGAGAAATAGAAGAAGAGATCAAATCAAAAGAACAAGAGTTGGTTCTTAACCCTACTGATAATAATTTAAAGGTATCTATAAAGATGCTTAAGGAACAATTTAACATGTTGATGGCAGATCAGGTGGCTACCAATCTGTCGTATATGAGACATAATACTTTTTGCAATGTGAATAAGCCTGGGAGGTGGTTGGCTTATCAGTTACGAAAGAAACAGAAAGCTAGAATTATAGAGAAAGTAAAATATAAAGGTACTGAGGTTTTTCAGCAAGATTTGATTAAAAAAAGCTTTTTGGACTTTTACACAAAATTATATTCAAGTGATAATATAAGGGGTTTGGATATAGATAAATATTTACAATCAGTACATTTTCCTAGACTTTCAGAGGAACAACAAAATGGGATGAATAGTTTAATTACTGTGGAGGAAATTGGCTTAGCTATTAAGCAGTTAAAGGTTGGAAAGTCTCCTGGAACAGATGGACTGACTTCTAGGTATTATAAGATTTTATCTGAAGAAATGATAGAGCCACTAAAGGAACTCTTTAATAGTATTTTGTTGGGTATGCAAGTTCCTCCTTCTTGGAAAAGAGCTTTTATATCACTGATCACCGAAGGAAGATCAGGATCTTACAGAGCCTAAGAATTATAGGCCAATTTCATTATTGAATGTTGATTATAAGATCTTTACAAAAATTTTGGCAAATAGATTAATGCAGGTTATGAAAGACTTGATTCATAGTGATCAAGCAGGATTTATAACAGGGAGATATATGAAACATAATGTTAGACAAATTATTAACTTAATTGAGTACTTGGATAAGAATAATCAGATTCCTGTGGCTTTTATCTTTTTGGACGCTGAAAAAGCTTTTGATCAATTGGACTGGCAATTTTTATTTTCTTTGGTAGAGAAAATGAATTTTGGGGATAATTTTTTACATGCACTTAAAGCTATATATCAGCAGCAATCTGCACAAATTGTTGTAAATGGGGGATTGACTGAGAATTTCAATATTCAAAAAGGGACAAGACAAGGATGTCCATTATCCCCATTGTTATTTGTTTTAACATTGGAAATTTTATTGATTCAGATTCGGGAATCGAAGTTAGTTAAGGGTGTAAAGATAAGGAAGAATGAGTATAAATTGCGGGCATTTGCGGATGATTTGGTTTTAATTTTGGAACAGCCGAATCAGGCGATTGATGGTTTATTAGAACTTATAACACAGTATGGGAATGTTTCTGGTTTTAAAGTTAATAATTATAAGACTAAGATATTATCTAAGAATATGTCAGTTAAAGAAAGGGAAAGTTTGATTAAAGCCACAGGTTTTCAGATGGTAAAAAAGGTTAAATACTTGGGAGTATATCTAACTGCTTCAAATGGAAAATTGTACAAGAACAATTATGAACCACTATGGGCAAAAGTCCAAAAGGATTTAATAGATTGGAAAAAATTGCAATTGTCATTGTTGGGGAGAATTTCAGCTGTAAAAATGAATGTTCTACCAAAGTTTCTTTTTTTGTTTCAGATGATACCTATTCTTAAAAAAGAGGCAAATTTGGAGGAATGGCAAAAGGGTATCAATAATTTTATATGGGCCGGGAAGAAACCAAGGGTTAAATTTAAGATATTACAGGATGCTCGAGAAAGAGGGGGACTTAAGGCACCCAATTTGAAATTATATTATGATGCAGCCGCCCTAACTTGGTTAAGTGATTGGCTTAATTTAACAAATATGGATATTCTTTTTTTGGAAGGTTGGGATTTAATATATGGTTGGCATGCATATTTAATTTTTAATAAGAAAGTTGATCGGACTTTTAAATCACATATTTTGAGGAATGCCTTACTTCGTGTTTGGAAGAAGTATTATTATAGATTAAATTATAAAATACCTATCTGGGGGATTCCCAGACATGCAATTGAGGGAACCTCTAAGGGGACAAATTTTGATAAAATTTCATATAAAGAATTGTTAATTTGTTCTGGTTCGAATTGGCATTTGAAATCCCTAGATGTATTAAGGCAGCAAAATATTCTACAGTCATGGTTTCAATATTTACAAATAATGGATAGATGGACTGTAGACAAGAAAGAGGAAATAACACTAGAAGATAGTTATTCAGATTAAAAACCAAGGTCCGGCTCATATAAAAAGAATATATAATGTTTTATTAGAGTTAGATTCGGAAACAGAATTGGTTAAAGATTGTATGATTAAATGGGCTCAGAATATACAGGAGCCGATCTCATTGGATTTATGGGAGATAATTTGGATAAGAAATGTTAAATTTACACAAGCTCAAAATTTGAGAGAAAATTTTTATAAAATGTTTTATAGATGGCATTTAGATCCTAAAAAATTATCTTGTATGTATTCCAACATACAGCCCAAATGTTGGAGATGTGGCAATAATGATGCGACATACTTTCATATTTGGTGGAATTGTAAAAAAGTAAAGGCTTTTTGGATTATGATTTGGTGGAACATTCAAAAGATTTTTAGAAAGAAGATAAAGTTTACTCCTCAACTATTTTTACTTGGTATTTTTGTTGACTTAAATGAAAAAGAAACTACTTTGATGTTGAATTTATTAACTGCAGCAAGGTTACTAGTAGGTCTATATTGGAAGAAAGATTCTTTGCCTACTTTAGAAGAATGGATATTTAAAGTATCTAGTTTTGCAGAAATGGCAAAAATTTCTGCTTATTTAAAGGATCATACACAAGAAAGATATATTACTGTATGGGGAAGGTGGATAGATTATATTCAGAAAAAATATGGAATTAAAAAGTTTTATTTATTTTATGAATGAATATCAAATATAGAGAATTGTTTTATAAGTTATGGAGTTAAAGGTTAATTATGATATTTTTTTTCTTTCTCTTTTTTTTTCTTTTTTTTAAATTATTATATTTTTTTTTCTTTTTTTTTTCTTAACCCTGTATTCTGCTCTGGGAAGTGAAGGGAGGGGGGGTGGGGGTGGGAGGGAGGGTAAGGGGGGGGTCTCTATTTTAAAATTTTATTGTATTTTTATAAATGATTGTATGTTTTAAAAAATAAAAATTTTCAATAAAAAAAAAATAAAGTCAAATTCTATTTGTTCCAAGGCATGTCCCACTAACTTCAATTGGAGTAAATCCCAGCTTAATGCTCTAGCTCTAATATATGCCCATACATTAAGGCTTAGGCTAGATGCTATCAGATATATTACACTACTATTATTGGCATATGATTATATGTGTGGCTTTTCATTATACTGCCCCATCATTTTAAATCCAGGTTATCAAATGGCTGTCATAGGCCTAAATCTAAACCCAGAGGAGTCTCTGCTCCATTTATTAATGTGTTAATGAAGTGTGAGGAAGATATCATATCTGTCATCTCAGAATTGCCTGGAGCGGTTTGAAATTCTAGTCCATTAACTCTCTTTCACTTCCAAAGGAGATCCTCTGAGATTGAGGATGGTTGAACGTTATGCTAAACTTACAATTCATGTAAGCACAAAGTAAAAACCTCCTACTGTCTGCTGAATAGAGGATATTATATAAATGTTGTCTTCCTCTGTGTTCAGTTCCAGAAGCAGCTCCTTCAAATGTAATTGTTCAAGTCATCAATAGCAGTCTGGCGAAAGTCATCTGGTCCACAATTCCAAAAGATCGGGTCCGTGGACACCTTAGAGGATATAAGGTGGATGTTGTTCTCCCTGTGCTTTCCCACAGTTTACCTTGACTCCTTGAATTATAAATATGATTTTGTAGAATGCTTGGGTTTGAACATCAGTTTAAACAGATCAGTAAAAGAACTAGATGATGCATTTCTACAAAATGCAAGCCTATTTATCTAATTTTAACCTTTGGCTAGGTTATGCAAGTGTGTATGTGTGTGTGTGTGTCTCTTTATGGATGCATGTTGGTGATTAAATGGTGTGAATGCTGTCAAAGAGTCACATCTGCTCTCTGCAAATATCCCTTCTGTAGATCAACTGGTGGAAAATCCGAAACCGTCTGGATGAAAAAAACCATCACCCAGAGAAACACTCCTTGACATTTAAAGCAGACCGAAATGATGGAATGATTCCTGGTTTAGAGCCTTTTAGTATTTACCACTTAACCATCTTAGCTTTTAATTCCAAAGGAAATGGACCCGAAAGCATTGCATATGAATTCCGAACCCCAGAAGGAGGTAAAGCTGGAAAAAGGGAGGGGGGGAATAAAAAGGAAAGAATGGCTAACTTTTGTAACTGCATTTTTCCCTTTGCAACTGACTTGATTGTGTGTCACTGTCTCCTTATCTGGGCATTCTCACAGTTGGAGATATCAAAGTAATATCTGACTTTTAAAAGGGAGTTTTTATTGTTGGTCACTGCAATTATATATTCATTATACACACTAGAGTTATTATTGTGCTTGATAAAAGTGTATTGCTTATTATTCCTTGGAATTTTCTAAGAACCTAATTAGAAATTAGATAAGATCTCCAATGAGTTACAAAAACTGTCAATGGAGTCAAACATTAATTGTTATGAAGGAAGGCCCCCCTCCCCAGATTAAAATATTCTTTATTTTTAATATTAAAAAAAGAGGCGGGATAGAATATTTCTCCTAAAGGAGAAATGGAAAAATAATCTTAACAATGGCAGGAAACAGCCCCAGTCTTCTTGCTATAAGAAAAAAGCCCTCAAGCAAAAAGACCAGTTATTAGAAGATTTTGAATGGATATTTATTTCCAGCATCTTACTCTCGGCTTGGAACTGGAGCTGATTTTTCTTTCAACAGTTAGAAGTAGAGAGGTACTACTGAAAGCATATGCCATGATTTCTTGCAAATTTCTTAATATCTTTAATACAACACACATTCCTTCTCAAGTGCAGATTCAAGAGCCCATAAACCCATGCTGACTAATGGCAGGAGACAGGAAGAATGACTAACTTGATTTCAAACAGAAGAAGAATTGGGGAAAGAAGAAAGTACAAATCTCTTATGTTTTCTACATTTCTTAGATTTCCCCAAAATCTATGAAAATGGTGAATGAAATCATCTGATAAAATAGTATTTATCTTTCCAAAGCTGAATACTTAGCTAACTTTCAAACAGAGGGTAGTATATTCAAAATGTTCCAAGCTAGTTCAATTCAAATTTTAAGAACCTGAAAAACATCATATTCATTTTACTTAACCAATAAGATATATTTTGAAAAGTTGCCTGCATTTTCAATAATATGTAGGGATGAAATGAGTGACTAATATTTACTTGCTTTGTTTTTATATTATCTTATTTTATTCTATATCTAGATACATTTCCTATATGGATAAATTTTATAAGAACAAATGAATAAAAGTGTATTCATGATCAATTTTTTACATATGTATTTTACAGTCCCAGAAAAACCACACTTTCTAAAAATACTAAATTTTGATAAAGACTCAGTAACATTATCATGGGGACCACCGAAGAAACCTAATGGATTCATTACTGGATACACATTGCAATACCAAATGAGTAAGTATACAAATATTCTACTTTCGATTTAGGATTTAAAAAAACATTTATTTAAGGCAGATCATTCTTAACTGATGTTGAAATATGAGGGAAATTGTTTCCTCCCTTATTTTTTCAACAGGAAAACCCTTTCTTAGCTATTTTTCTTTTTTAAAAAAATACAGAATCCTATATTTTAAATTTTAATTGGGCACAGCAGAGACATTAAGGGGTCCTAACATTCCTGCTGTAAATCTTTATTAAAGATTAGCAGACTGACTGACTGAAGTCATGAGTTGAAAATATATGTTTTAGCCTCATATAGCTAGATATATTTTTACCTTCTTTTATACTGCATTAAAATTATCTTACTGTATCATCTTTATAGGGGAATTTGTCTTTTTCTTCCAAATCCACATTTGCCTAATAACAAAGGAAGATGCAAGCAGATAGTTAACAGTGTGAGTTGAGGGAAGAATGATAGAATATAGGGTTAAGTGTACTAAGTATGCTTAGTATATAAGCCATATTCTAAAGCATGTGTTGCAGTACCTTCCAAGAGTTCCCAAAATTACATAATCTCACTAGTAATGCTAGTACATTGACTGACAAATCAAATTAATCTGTTTTTTAATGGAATATAGTTGCACCTCCATGACTGAAAAAAATGCATAGATATGCAAATCAGGCAAACACATATTTGATGTGTTTTCCTTTCGTATTTGGTGGTGGAAGTCTATTGAATATAAATTAAAATACAAACAAACTGTGGAGGAACTGGATAGATCATGGCCTTGGATTCTCATTACCTATTATTTTAGGCAAATATTCCAAGTTCAGTTGTAGAATTGGTTGCTATGAGATGATCAGCAAATAAATAAATAAACAAACAAATAAATAAACAAATAAAATGTTCAAAAATCTGTATCATGATTTTTAATATTTTACATGTAAATTTTATTTAGATTCAAGTTCTGCTTACAGCAAAATTTTCACTAGATATTTTGTTTTGTAGTAATTAAACTGTATAATACAATGTGTTATACACGCACATACATATCATATATATATATATATATATATATATATATATATATATATATATATATATATATATATATATATATTTGCTGCTCAAAGCACGAAGCTGAAAACACCAGCCTGAAGATGACGAATGGGACTTTGTCAAAACGTCGCCAAGACACTTCCAATTTTACGCAGGAGAAAACCCGAACAACCAAAGACCTACATACAAATACCCGCGAAAACCTCAGAAAACACACACACACACACACACACACACACACACACACACACATATATATATATATATATATTTATATTATATTATATTATAACAATTCAAATGTTTTATGTTGTACATTGGTGAAATATAAAGTTGGCATACAAGGTAGATTTTTAACAAATAAACTGATTTCTAATGTTGATGTCTGACTAAACAGTATCTGCTTATTCTTTTGTTTTTCAGTTAATGAGACTGACAACATTGGGCCTTTGCATGAAATCAGCATTACCAATTCATCATCATTAAGCTTCCGATTGTCTAACTTAAGCCTCAGCACAAAATATAAGTTCTATGCAAGGGCCTGTACAGTGCAAGGATGTGGAAAACCTATCACAGAGGAAGGAATAACAGTAAACCAAGGCAGTAAGTTAAAAGCAGGGTTGAATGTCTACAAATCTAATCTTAATCGTAACATCTGGGTATTGAACCAAAGGGAAAATTAATCAGTAGGAAAGGAAATAGTGCTTATTATTAAAAGGCTGATACTTAAGGCTTCAGAAGGTTGCATATCATTATCTACTAAAACTATTCCTCATCAGCCATTTGGTCTTTTTCTTTTCTCTGAATATACTGTATATTTGCAAAATGGCTTCCTATGATAATGTTGTGAAGACATGGATTCATTTTGACTTGTACACTTGTTAATGTAAGTAGTTGAATACCATGAATATTAGGTTGTGCAAAGCTTAAAAGCCATGTTTTATTTCAACAAAATGACAAATGAAACACTCCTCAAAAATCCTTCATGCAGTAATGATCTTGTCACTTACATAAGATCCCAAAGAAGGGATATATAACTGTGGCATCTTACTACTAAGGTCCAGGTAAGCACCTATATTGCTTCACTGCTTTCTGTTTCAGAGCTACTCTCATATTTTCTCCTCCACATTAAAGGAGAAGGCTGACAATAGTCTTTTTCAGCAAATGTTACAGGAGAGGTCTGAAAGAGCTTTCTCTTGAAGAGTTAGCCACAGAGCTTTCAGATAAGTTCTGGTCAGACTTGAATTTTCTGGAAAGTGCAGAAAATTGCATGCTAAGGATTTTCCAGAATGGGTGGCTCCAGTGCAGACTGTAGGAAGTCCCATGGTACATGCTGAAGTTGATCCACTCAAAATTCCCCCAGCACTCATGGGAATCTTTCAGTTGATCACTTCTACAGTGGGCTACAAGGTGTCCTCCATAGTCCTCTGTCAACCACTTGAGAACAGTCAATGGCACAGAGAAGCTCTTTTGATGGCCCTTGGTTATGCCACATGTTCTCTAGGTGATGAGCAATTGAGGAAAACTAGTAGCATCATGGCACTTTCTTTTTTCCAATCATAGACTGCAGAAAAGAAAATCCATCAGTGTGGAAAAGCTCCTTTGATTCAGGAAATTAGATTAGGTCATCTCCTCAATTCAGATCGCTTCTTTAAGCAAATCTCTGTAACTTTATGCAGTCTTACTGAGCTAAATAATCTTGGTTATAAAGGAGAAAATGATACCACATAGGTCTATTGTTGTAATAATCAAAAATATAATTATATTTAATTTGACAATATTTGCTGCAACAGAGCATCGCTTTTAATATACAAATGGAAGCCCATATTTAATTGCATTTCTTTAAACTATAACATTCTGGGGTTCACTAGATGAACCATTTAATTTCCAATTAAAGTCCCATTAGCACAATTACATCCATCATTCAGCTGAAATACAATCAGATGGATGACTTACAACTCTGTCTCTATAGCTGTAGAACCAACTAGATATTAATTGGTAAAATTAAGTGAGATTGGCATACCAATTTGCCAGACAGAATGAGCTAAATAAAAAATGCCCAAGTTCATCAGTGTGAATAACATACAATAACAGTGTTGACAGGGAACAGTCAAATATTTTCTTTCACTTAATAAGTTATCTTATTAGAATGGGGTGCATACATTCCATTTAAATCAGAAACTGAAACTTCCCCCTGGAAGATGTAGTTGAATCTTTCAAGCATAAAGGGAATAGCAATATTAGCACATCATAACAATGGTTGCTTTTTGGTTTGGCTGATTTGATTGGGCTAAGATTTGTTTAACAGGGGCCCCTGTTAAATTTCACAGTAATTGTCACACTCTACTTTGACTTGGTCAGGCCCTATTTGAAATACTGTGTCCAATTATTGACACCACAGCTTTAACAGGCTATTGGCAATGCAGAACAAATTCAGAGCAGGCTACATAAAGGGACTGAAAACCAAGTCATGTGAGGGATGATTAAAGGTACTGAATTTATTTAGCTCTCAAAAGAGAAAATCAAGAGGAGGTGTAATATCTGTCTTCAGATATTTGAGCCAGGCAGTTGGTAAGCTCTGTTGGAGAAGTGACTTTTTGTTTATAAGGTCTATTGTTTAACTGAGCATGATGGGTATATATTGTTGTGATATTTTTAATCTCTGTACACCATCCAGAATCATTGATGTGAAATGGGAAGTCTTCAAATATCAGATGGATGGATGGATGGATGGATGGATAGTACATAGTATATAGATTTCCATTTGTTGTATTAAATTGTTACTCAAAACATTTTGTAATAAAGATGAATCTTAACTGTTGTACCATGGGGAAATAGTAAAATTGTTCATTGTTGGGTTACTTTGTCTCCAAAGTATCATTCATATTTGTAAGGTTCCAAACTCAAGAAAAATCTAGACTTACAATTTGGTATTTAATGTTTATATCAGTTCTTTGATATAAAAGAAAAATGAAAAAAAGCTGATGGCCTGTTGATTTTATTCTTAGTTCTTACTTTTTGGGTATTAAAAATAAAATTTTAACCCAACTGCTTGTGGATTTCTTAAGCTAATAATTGTACTTTAGTGACCTTTAATATATTCCCTAAAATATTTTGCTACTAATGTGTTATGTATCTTCCTTTACTTCTTAAAGTTCTTCATATTTTTATCTTTTCAAACTACTCTTGCATACTGCAATGTATACATAGATACATTATTTATCTTCTCCAGGTAAGAAATATAACTCTAAAACGAAGTACTAGGCTATCCTTAGTGGATTTATACATTAATCAAATCTTTGCAGAGATCTTACAGAGGGAAATATGTCTGAATATTAATGTGAATTTTCTATAAAAACCCAAAACTTGTATCAAAATCTCCTTATCCAGCAGTTAATATTAATTGGATATCTGTGGTGCAGCAGCCTCATTTCTATTTTATTAAGTCTTTAAACAGCTTTATGATATCCTTTTATTTTCTTTTTGTTTGACTTCATTATGACTTTAGTAAAAGTGATCCAGGGAAAGCTTTTTTTGGAGACATTTTGAATCAAGCACTTCACTGAACTGATGGATGATAGATGGATAGATAGGTAGATGGATATACATAGATGATGATGGATGGATGGATAGATAGATAGATAGATAGATAGATAGATAGATAGATAGATAGACAGATTCTCCTCCAAACCTGCAAAAAAGGTTTGCTGGAGTATAACAGCATAAATATTAAGATTAAAGCAACAAGATTATGCTTAGAGAAGCATGCACATACATAAACACATCCCAAGGCATCTCAATATTTGTTTCTTGAAAATTCAACATCAGCAAGACAAAAAAATAAACATGTACAAAATGTACATGCCTTAGTAAAGCTCAGCAAACGATCCATAATCAAAATACTTTTTGCAAACTAATTATAAGAGCATGCAGATAATAGCGTGCAACATCATGCCAACAGTCTTTAGATTTTCATACATTAGTTAAACAATTGTTAGATTTGCAGATCTTTAGCAAAGCTTTTTTTTAAAAAAAAAGAAAAGAAAAAGAAATAGCAATAATTGGGAGGTATGCAGATGTGAGATATCTTCTACAGCCAGTCCTTGACCTATGTTCATTCATTCAGCAAATTACAACAATGCTGAACAAATGCCCTTGGAGATCCAGGCATCCTAGCACCCCATGATCATGTGATCATGATCTGGGTGTTTGGAACCAGTTCGCATTTAAAAAACAGTTGCAGTGATCTGAGGCCATGTGATCTCCATTTGCAACCTTCCCTCCTGGTTTCCCAGAAAGTCAATTAGGAAGCCAGCAAGGAAAGTCACAAGTCACTGGGATATGTCCTTCTGTGTTTGTGCCACACCAGTCACTCAAATCCTGACCATCACTGTGACTCAGTCACACCCTTGCAACTGTCCCTAATCTACACTGCACCTTCTTGAAGTGTTATTGCAATCTTATGCACCCTCTCTGACCATCCCTTGTACCCTCATGCAACCCCAGGACCTACGGGGCACCCCCTCACCCACCTAGCAGCAACAACTCATCCTCAACTGCCATCATCGTTGAAGACTAGCTGTATCTTGTTGCTCTTTCCAGTTTCCTTCATCTCAACATCAACCCATCAACATCAGTAGAGTCTCTGCTATAATGGCTAAGCTAGAAAAGATCTCAAAAGATTCAAAGTAATTCAATCATAAAAAGACCACAGTTGTTCAACCTTAGTGCTTAGGCCAGTAAGAAAAATTTGAAATAGCAATCTTCTAAATATGTAGCTTTTATTTTAAGACTGAAACAAAATAGTCCATTTTGCCTTGACTGTGATACTACGATATCTTGAATTACAGAAAAGAGTCAAAATGTTTCAAGGTCACAATGCTTTGAACATCTGTAAGGAATGTTATCACAGAAACATTATTATTGGCAATGTCTGTTGAAATGTGATGTCTAAAGCAATTGATGGAGCATGCTTAATTTCCAGTTACTTCAGCAGCTTTAATGTGCCTGACAAAGTGGTTTCAGAACTGGAGGGAGCCTCCTGTTCCTTTCAGTTTGTAATCCTGTGTATCTGACAGCTTTAAATAGTTTGGATTATTTGAAATGACAGAAATTGACATAATACATTTTCTCCTTGTTACCTTTCAGAAAACATTTATATCAAGTGTACTACTTTGTGCATTTAGGGGAAAAATAACTTGCAATGACCTGTGATTAGAAATGTAGTTTCAGCTTCATGGAATTAATTTAGCAACATCAATTCTGCAAGATAGTTTTAATTATGTTAAACCCTTCTCATCAAATGATGGTTTAATGCACCAATCAACATACTGTATTCCTTTAATTCTCTCTGGCACTATCATAATTAAAGTACAGGCTGTAATTGATAAATAATTGTTTTGGAAAACCTTGTAATATTCTGCTGTTTTGTCTGTATCCAACCATTTTTAATCTTTTCTCTTTTTTCCCTTTCAGTTATCTTCTGAGTGTTAATTCTTGAAGCTACTATTTGCTTGCTTGCTTATTCCAGAACTAATAATCATTGCTTCTGCATCGCACATGCAAATTATCTAAGAGTTTGCAAGCTCCACTATATCTGTGAACTAATAACTATCTGTTCTAATAGATACATTGTACTTCAGGTTGCAATATTAGATAGACTGAGCAAATAAAGCAAAATAAATAATTCCTTAAAAAAAGAATACTTAAAATATTTAGGAAATCTTATTTAATGAAGATTAAAAAGTTAAATAATATGCAGGTTTCCTTTCTAGGATGTAAATATTCATCTTTTTTGTTTCCTCTTAAAAATTATACAGTACTGTCCCAATATAATATAAAATAGATTAAAAGCATCAAAAGAATAAAATTACATGCTAACTTTTCATTTCATTCATGAAACAGAGGTAAAATAATTAATTAGTGAGGGAACCACTACTCTGTTACAGCAGAAACCAGAAAGTGCCTTATGAAAGTGCCTTTAAAAATTAACAAATGTATTATGACATAAATCCAGGATTCCCAGTGCTTCTTGGATTGATGGCTGTGTTCCACCTTTGAATGGTGTATCGGAATCAGACAGCAGGAGATATAACCAAGGCAGAAAAGTAGGCAATATTAAGAGAGAAACTGAATTTGATTTAATTTACATTGCATTAGAATACAGGGGTAGTCAACCTTGGCTCTTTTATGACTCATGGACTTCAATTCCCAGAATTCCTGAGCCAGCTAGCTGGCTCAGGAATTCTGGGAGTTGAAGTCCACGAGTCATAAAAGAGCCAAGGCTGACTATCCCTGCATTAGAATCTAATTTGTATTAAATCAATTTAAATAAAATAATTTATCATGCATTTTCTTTTTCCTCCATATTAATGAGAGAATCTGATGGCAATTTTTTGAAGGGCTCTTGGCCATGCCCAAGCTGAAATGTAGTACTGAAACTTCAGTTATCAGGTACTCCAATAAAGGAGACTGTTTGACATGAGGGTTGACATGAGGGCTCTTGGTGCTCTCTGAAAATGCTTGTTTTCTTGGAAATGTTTCATTACTCAAACTAGGTAGCATCAAACATTGATGATGTTACCCAGTTTGAGTAATGAAACATCTCCAAGAAAACAAACAAGCTCAGAGAGCACCAAGGACCCCTCAGTTATGTACTCTGCTATGAAACCTTACCTTAAGAACCCCACAAGACACTTGCTTTTTTTTTTTCAATGATAATTTTATTAGAGGAATTGCTGACTCATTATTTGGATACTTGTTTTAATAGAGAATTTTAGTTCAGTTTACTAAGATGAGCCAAACCTTATAACTTTTAAAATTTCATTTTAATTAGTCATATTAATTAACATTTCACTGAAGCACTACCATATAATTATGTTAATTTGACTTCTTTAATGTAAAATATTTCATTATACTCAACTATAGATTGGATTTTGATGTAATTCTATATCAACCATTTGATTTGTTTGCAACCAAGTTGAAACAATTTAGATAGCTGAGTTTTTAAAGGGGAAAAATGCATATTAGCATTTATTTATTAGCTAGAATATAAGTTTAAATGTAACTGTTTTATTGAAATTCTGTGCAACATTAATTTTGCCATTTATTTATATAAACATAATTTATTTGGATATTTAAATATGTTCAATAAATCAATGAATATTATTAGAATAAGGTATTTTTCTTGAATTTGTAGAAACTGGGCTAAATTATCCAGTAATTTAAATAACTAGCTTCTATTAAAATAAATACAATTTAGAACATACACTACATGAATAGTAATGTGTCATATAGGATCATTACCCTAAATGATCCCTTGTAATAATTGTGAAATTCTCTAAGGATAAATGCTTTACCTAATAATATTAACTGGTACTGATTGTGTAATTTTATATCCTGAGGCCCTCACCCAATTCACCTATTTGACTTGACTCTGTGCATTCCATAGGTAAAGCTGTCGGGAAGATTACTGAAGTTAAGCCCAGCCCAAAGAGTCAGCCTGTTGAGGCACTTGATCCTGGAACTGCAAACACAATACGACTAATGACTAAGAATTGGGTTGATAATAATAGCATTTCTGCAGATGTAATTGAGACCAGGGGGAGAGGTGAGAAATTCTTAAGGCCTCTAAGATGACCGTGATTCTCACAAAAAAAAAAAAAACTTTAGCCACTGCATATTAGTATTATAGACTGTATAATTGTAACATGAAACAGTTATATAGTCAGAACTCACTGCATCTATTATAATTGGATTTTCATTGTTGATTTCAACAAAAGAAAAAAGTAGTTTCCCAGTTCATAATCCTCAAACACTATACTGTAATTTCCAGAAGTATTGCTGGGGCCAAATCTGGTACAGGAAATGTAGACTTCTCTTAATATTTTGAATGTTAAACTGAGAATTGCAAATTATCTTTGCGATAAATGTTAGTATGAATGTAATCAGTCCCATTCCACCACAAGTTTTTCTGCTTTACCTTTAGTAGCAAGTTTCCGTTAATAATTCCAAATCTATGTAGGAAGAAAAAATAAAGAGTAATTAGGACTACCATGCCTGGACTGCAAAATGTAACAAAACCACTGGATGGCAGCAAAGAGTTAATTTTCTGTATAATTTTCTGCAATCTGAAGTCTTTAGATTTTTGCAATTCAGGTGTGATAATTCTTAGATTAAATTGGCATAAAGTTGTTCCAGCATTTTACTGTGGAAAACAGAAAACCTCTGTGCAAGTACCAGGAATATGTTGCAGAGACACGTGTGTTCTCAGTTTCTGCAAGTGCTATTGGACAAAATTAAAATTTTGTAGAAGATTAAAATAATATAAGGAGGGAAAATATTTCTCCCAGTACAATTCTGGAGTGAAAGATAGATATCAGACAATACGTCAGATTTCTGAATGGGTCTTCAATCTTCTCCAAAGAGGCAGCTGAGGTCAGACATATTGAAAGCCTAGGTGTCCCGAATCAGTGGAAGATGCAGCTCACAAATCTGCCCTTTTCTCTTTGTGCTTGACTAGTTCTTTATCGCAGATACATCCCTTCTATTTCTGGGATTATGCTGCTGATATCCCATTAGGGTACATTAGTATTGCTCTTCAAAATTCCCCACTTCCTCTGCATTGGTGGCTCCTGTTAAAGGATTGCTTTTATTGCAAAATTTCCTGCAGAACTCGAGCCTGATAGGTGAGTCTGATACTGAGATATCTCTTCATTTTTGCTCTATAATCTAGATTTAAAATTCAGCTTCCAAGGCAAAATTGAAACCAGTTCAAAAGGGCCAGTTTGTATTACTTAGATATTTATTACCTTGCCAGTCCTTTTCTTCTTGCATTTTATATGCAGTAGGCTATGCATTTGCCTCTATTCTGTACACTTTTTTTTAACCCTCTCTTTCTTACTATTGCATGACAAGCTGGTTTAAGTACTATATTCCTGCTTGCTTAATTAAAATATGCAATTAAATGTTTCAAATCTTAATAATGTGTCTTGCAGACTTGATTTTAATATAAACATTTTATCCCCTTCACCCAATGCAGACTGCTAACCCCTGATAATCAGTTCTAAAATATTCTTTAAAATACAAAAAAAAAATCTTATACCTCCATATGTATTTTTTTTCCATTCAAAGCTTACACTGGAATTTATAAACGAATCTCTACACAAGGTTGGTTTATAGGATTGATGGGTGCCGTCGCTTTGCTTACCTTACTGTTGCTTACTATCTGCTTTGTTAAAAGGAACAGAGGAGGAAAATATTCAGGTGAGGAAAAATGTGTTCTCCAAATTGAATATACTTTTATAAGGATGTACAAGCTTTTTCCCAGGTTATCACTAAATTAGAGTTTTAAGTCTTCTTGGGGGTCGGAAAGTTACATAAACCCAACAATCCATAGCAACAAATGGTGTTCCACATGAAATAAAAAGCTGATAACAGATTGTTGGGAGCTTCTGGAATTTGCCTGTTGCTATCCCTTAGGAAGATTAAAAAAAGCTTCTTTGCATAGGGAAAATGCAGTGAGATAAGAAACGACAAGACTACCAATTCCGCTTTAAGTTATAATTGGCTGAAAGAAAATAGGATCCTTTCTAAAATAGAGCTGTACTTGGAAAAAAAAATTGAAAAGTCTCCAGAAACACATGCACAAATTTCTATTTGATAATGTCAGCTAATTGCCTTAATAGCAAATAAATTGATGTCTTCACCAGGGCATCTTTGAGAATAGCATTATCTAAATGAACAAAAATGTACACCGCATGGTCAGAACTTCTATTTTTGAAAAATAAAGATCCAGTCAAGAAAGTTGTCACTTTCTCTACCATTTAAAATCTAGGTTACATTTGTCTGTCTGTCTGTCTGTCTATCTATCTATCTATCTATCTATCTATCTATCTATCTATCTATCTATCTATCTATCGTTCATCTATCTATCTATCTATCTATCTATCTATCTATCTATCTATCTATCTATCTATCTATCTATCTATCTATCTATCTATCTATCTAATAGAATTGTATGGCTGGAAGGGACCTTGAAGGTTTTCTAGTCTAACCCTCTGGCTAAAACAAGAGACTGTATTCCATCCTGGATAAATGAATCTTTTTTTGCATGTGCCTTCTTCAATCTCAGGTCCTCTACCAGAGGCCTTCCCAGTTGTAATAGTATTTGATTGATTATGGTATGGATTTCTAGCAGTTCCCAGCCATCTTATTTTGCAGTCTGGTCTTTTTTAATGTTGTATCAACTATATCATGGCTCAAGAGAATTACTCCTTCCCCAGGTTCACCGATTGCATGATTACTGGTTTCATGGCCAAAACTGAGCTCCCTAAAGCCTCCAAAGGTGGAGCCGAGGCAAGGTTAGAGAAGAAGAGCCAAAGACCCAAAACACATTAAGCCATTCCAATAGAAAGATTAAAAAAAAGACACACTTCATCCTGAATTTTGGCTTTCTATAGGATTCCAGCTTTTATTTAAAATTGTTGTGCATTATCACTGAACTTTATTTGTTAATTAATACTTACAGGGAAAAGTTGAAAGAGCTGAAAATAGTTTCAAGTAGGTATAAAGTAGTTCAGGAGAGAGACAGAGTTTGTCAATTCACTCAGAATTAAGTGGAAGTTCTAATTGCTGCTGTTCTTAATTCTTATTTTAAAAAGCATGATTCATATATACATGATGTTATGTTTATTACACATTTCTTTAAACATGCACTGTAATATTCTGAGAAGCGTGTACAGAATACCCTTAAAGGTTTACCCAAAGAGAAGCCTTGACACAATAGTGGAAGGCTAAGGCACTCACTACAGAATTTCATTTTTAGGCCAAAATTTAAAAATGCTACTCCTTCAATACAGGACTGTGCCTAAGAGCTCATTGTATGGTTTGCCACAGATAAGGCAGCTGTAATATAAAACAGCAAATCACATTGGCTAATTTGCTCCCAAAACCTATATAATTTAAGAAACTCATACTTAAATGATTTAGCTTCATCTAAACTAAATTAATCAATTGCAACTCAACTAGAAGTATTAACAACATGATACTTCTGTGAATAATTCAGCACTGGCAACAAAGATGATAAGAAGCCTGGAGGCTCAAACATATGAAGAACAGTTGCAGGAACTTGGCTAGTCTAGTGAAGAGAAGGACCAGGGGAGACATGATAGCAGCATTCCAATATTTGAGGGGCTGTCACAAAGAGGAGGCACTTGAAGGCCAGACAAGAAACAATGGATGGAAACTGATCAAGAAGAGATCTAGAAATAAGGAGAAATTTTCTGACAGGGAGAACAATTAACCAATGGAACAGATTGCCTTCAGAAGTTGTGGATTCTCCATTGCTGGAGGCTTCCAAGAAGATACTGGATAGCCACTTATCAGAAATGGTATAGGGTCTCCTCCTACTACATCCCTTCCAACTCTGTTATTTGATTAGTACAAGGGCTTTAAAAGATGGTTAATATTATTGTTGTTATCATCATCATCATCATCATCATGTGTTGTTACAGAGCCAGGAGACCACAGTACTATTGCAGAATAGTAGTTTGGCTTGCCAACATACCAGCCCTCTTATAGGACATGCTTACGTGCTTCCCAAGGTGTGCCACAGGAGAGCAAGCTGGCTTTGCACCAGAGATAAAGACGAGTGGCTCTTCCTGCAGTGCTCACAAATGGGAGAGTGCAATTGGGAAGGTCCAGAGCCATCAAAAATCTGAGCACCAGTTTGTCTCCCCACCAAACCTGTACAGTATTTGCATATAACATGCTTTCAAACACTTAGATGGACAGAAGCTGAGGCGAGGAACTCACCCTGCCACACAATGCTTGATTTCAAAGCTGGAGCTGAGACCGTTTCCAGCATCATTAAGATTAACTAGTTTTAAGTAGAGTATGCTTTGTTTCCTATTAAATGAAAGCAAATGCCTAAAAATATCTGAATGACTTTTTTAATGTATGTGCAGTGAAAGAAAAAGAGGACCTGCATCCAGATCCTGAAGGCCAGTCCATAAAAGATGAAATCTTTGGTGAATATAGGTTAGTGAGACGTATCCTTCTTTGCAATGTTTGGGGTAAATAATGATCTTGTAAGAATCTTCTAATAATATTGCAAGCAATAATACTTTCTGATTGCCAAATGAAAGGGAGTGATATGAAACATTATACAGAACACTTTAGTGGAATGAATTCTATTTTTTATTAGTTTCTTGTGGAAGGTTTTGTAAATATTTTGGTATAATAAGAAGAGATTCTTAGGGCATTTGGGATAGTTATTTCATTAAACAGTCAGCTTGCTCATTTAATCTGGAGTGTAATATTGCGCACAAACATGCAGGCATTATTTTTCTGAAAATGCAGAAATAATTCACATAGATCTATATAATTAATGTACTCCAAATATGAAATGAATGAAATATTATTTGACTGAATTAGCCTGAAATACTGCATTCTAACCACTGCATAGCTCCATGGCTCCTATGGTAGATATTTCCCATTCCCCCCCCCAAAAAAAAAACCCCAAACCCACTAATACCCATAAAGTGGTCTGAAATTACTTGTCTGAAGTTCAAGGTTAAAGCCATTTTTCAAAGTTTGGGATTGCTTCCTGGAAACTTTCATTCTCATTCCCACCTGTCAAAAAATCCTCTGAAAAGGGGAAAAAGTCTAAATTATGTTTGAAAAGAACAGTTTCTTTTTGGAGATTAGATGTTTCAAATTATTCCTATTTTCATACCTGTCCTTTCGTACAATGATGTGCATATTTTTCTGCATCCTTTCACTAATATGTTCCACACAGAGAGAAGTGTGAATTAATTTATATCAGAGATTGAATTTGTAAGAGTACTCTGAAATCCAAATGGAATGAATTTCTTTCTCACTCCTGATCCCTACTAATCTGTTTGTAGAAGTTCCTCCAATAAATGAAATTAGCATAATGCAAGTTTTTGCTATAACGTTGGCCAGTACAGTATACTATACTTACTTGCAATAGATGCGATCGAGTATGGAAAATAATTACTAGCTCTTTGCCTTTAAGTCTGCAATTTACACCATGTAATTCATTTCAGAACTGAAGCAAATACATAAAAATTTGTATTTTATACAAGAAAGATAAAAAAAATATTTTTCCCACTGCTATTTCCACCCCAACCTAAAAGTAATATTAAGCTGTTTATAGATGCATCCTCCATGGATTTATTCAATCCCTTTTTAGACCCATCCAGGATTTGGATGTAACCCATCTATATTTTAATCATGCACTGTATGAAAAAGTGTAATCTTTTTCCAGTCAGGTTCATTGTGTGATTCCAGCGTCACTGCTTTGAAATAGGGAGAAAAACATTCCCCATCATGCTGGCCTCAATTCTGTGTATTCCCAGCTAACAAACGTCAAAACACCACTCACAAGAAGTGTGAGTTTAATTACTCCCCTGGCCCATACCTGAAAAAAAGGTCATGTCTTCAAAGCTTTCCAAAAATAGGACAGACTTGACCCAACCAAACCAAGTTACAGTATAAACCCCTGAACTCCTATTATTGTATATGCGAAATGAGGGATTTGGTCCCATTGTGCATGACTTTATATGCATTTAATTGAACTGCATTTGCCATTGTGTACTCCATTTGCCATCTTTAAAAAATATTTTTCTGGAGTATTTTACTGGTACTTTGGTTTTTCCACTTTCAACTTACTGGCAGCCTTATTGATCCCATTAGGACATTTTGTTCCTGTCAACGTTGCTATCAGAAGCTCTAAAGTTTCTGAGTCTCCCATTCCAAGGTGATAACTGACTTAGAATCAAATGTTTTGGAGTATTATGTATTTTCACTGTAGAGGTACCGTCAGAAGTTCTAAAACCTCGGAGCCTCTCACTCCAAGGTGGTAATTGGCTTCGAATCAAATGTCATCCCTAAATAGAATTTCCAGTGTCTCTTTTCTTAATTTTCTCTGTATGATCGAATGTGCCCTTATGCTTCTCACAAGTGGGTTTTTTTTTTCCTGTTTCAGTGACAGTGATGAAAAGCCGCTCAAAGGAAGCTTGCGGTCTCTTAACATGGACATTAAAGGTGCAGAAAGTGCTGATAGCTTAGTGGACTATGGAGAGGGGGACCACAGGATGTTCAATGAAGACGGTTCGTTTATTGGCGCTTACGCTGGAAGTAAAGAAAAAGCCTCGGTTGAAAGCATTGGGAGTTCCACAGCTACCTTTCCTCTCCATGCATAAAATATTAGCATGAATTATTCATTTCAGATCATCGTATTTATCTTTACTTCTCATTGAATATTATACAAGGCAGAAATAGGCTGCAGAAAAGTTAAAGACCTGGACATGCAGCAGGTACAGAAACAGGCAGATGACTTAAAAAGCCGATTTTTGAAACTTACTCTTTTTTTCAAGACACTGACATTTTCGATTCATTAAAAATAAAAAAAGGACTCCGAACTAAAATTTCATCATACACATGTCATTTAGTCTGACCAAAACGAAACCTTCTTCAGTGTTATATATGTATTTTGGGATCTAATTTCCTCCAGGTCTTTTACAACCCAGTTTTATAAACATCTCTAACTGGAACAGCAGTCAAAGAGTTGACATCAAATGAGTATCTGCTACAACCCTACCTTTGATTTGGGTTTGGCAGACTATAGAAAGTTATAACCAAATATTATGGAGAGAAGGTTATGCTGGCATGAATGACACTGTGCTGTCCAATGGTGCTGGAAAGCTTCAGAAGCTGAGTAGTTCCACATGTCTCTACAGTATCCTTTTTCTTGGTCGGTTTTGTGCTGCACAAGGATATAATGCTAAGCCAATACATCACGTCTGCCAATACTCATTTTTGCTGGTGCGCTTAGTCGGCGATAATAGTACATTATCTTTCTGTTGGGAATAACAGATAGTGTGATATATTCTACTGCATGTACTACATTCTGTACACATACTTGTTATGTTGTAACTAGTAGTAATGGGCCCTAGGTTAGAATTTCCACTTTCTTACACATTTCTGCTTCTCTGTGTATGTTTCAAAACCCTCATTTCATAGTAATCCCATATTTTTCGGTGTTACAGGGATCTCCAGGCAAAAACTGTATAGCAGCAACAAAAACATTACCTAGTGATAATAGTGCAAAGAGTGCACTCTGTGGTACGTCTTATTTTAAAAAGATATGGAAAAGGTGCTGGTGATAGGAGAATTTGTATTCTGTACCTACAGCAAGATGTTCAAATAAATGGTAGCATGGTTAGATGATATTTTATGTTTTGCCCACTAGCTGTCACCCTTTCTTTATGCAAGCAAATTTAAAACTTTCTTTGGGTTATAGAAAGTATATGACTCTTTCAAAATTGTGGAGTTCTACTCAATCCAAACAAGAAAAAAAAAATCAGGAAAGAGCTGGCTTTTAAAGGAAATATGATTTTTCAGTACTTCATATTTGAATGCCCACATATCTTTTCTGAATGCTTGTATATATTAAGTTTATACTGATACTTTCAGGGGAAATCATGCTAATTTTTATTTTGTCAAGGTGCAACGGCAGCATGTCATTATGGAACTTAGTAGCAGTTTAATTCTTCCCAGGAAGTTACACTTTTGTGGATACAATATTTTTTTTCCAAGCAAAACATACTCAGAATCATTTCAGTTGATAAAGAATTTCCTTCTCATCCATAAAACAAAATATTCTAAATCTCTAACTATGAATATTGTGTCTCACTTGTTAAATCAAAGCAAATGTAGTTATTGAAAAGGTTTTCTATCAATGCTTTTTCAGTCCCTTTTAGTGTATAATAGAGTTGCTACCCAAAGTTTAATTTTTTTCTGGTATACATTATAGAAAGGAAGACATGTTAATTATAACAATAAAGATACTATTGGTATGAAAAACCATCTTGGAATAATATACTTCCCTATTTTGTTATAAATCGTTGTTTGTAGGCTTTTCCATGCCCATTTTGTTAATTTATAGACATGCAGATTATCTATTATTTACATTATTCAATGTTCCTTTTTCCCAGTGCCAACCCAGATAATAAAGATACAAGTAACTAAGCATTATCTTCAACTTAGATCCATTCATTTTGGCTATGATTTAATATTTTGTAATTGTCAAACAGCATGTTATTTAAAAATTAACCATTGTCTGTTCATTAGAGTCCTAATTATTTATTGCATTTGGACCCAGCACTGTTTAAAAAGATAATTTCAGCTCTTAGTCCATACTAATGGCTGCTAGGCAAGATACTACTGTTCAAGTGGTTAGGTACTAAAACAGTTTTTTTATAAACTCTATAAACTTGACATATATCTTTTTCCATTTGGGGTTCTGGTAGTAATAGATATAAATATTTCTTGGAGAGGAAGCAGTCCTATTATCACCTTCAATCTTCCCAAACCCCACTAAAATTAGCCATTTTGCTTCCAAAATTTGATGGCATGGTTTCAGTCTTGGGGGGGGGGCAAGATTTCAAGAGGCCACGTGCGGACAACATTTTCCCTCAATATTCAACTCCAACTATATTTGAATTATAATTTCCCTACCTTTATTTTTTAAAAGCTGTTAAAACAAAGACCAACTCTCCTTTGAGTCGGAGTCAGCACTGGAGACTGACAAACTTGGGCACCCCTCTCCAACATTCTTGCCCTGCTTTTTTAATACCTTCCCAGCATTTTCAAACAAAAGGGTTAAAACGGCAATGGGTAGTAATGTCACAGAAGAAGAATGACCTAAATAGAACATCTCATTTGAAGAGTACTTTTCCTTTACATCTTTTTTTTTTTTTTTTGGCATGTAAGTGAACCAGAAGATACAGTGTCACAATTTGCTAGTAGGACAATCCTCCTTTAAAATAAGTCCTTGCTTTATGTGGAGATTTGTTGACAACGTTGACCAGATTTGTATTCCTTAGAATCACAACTTTTCTCCATTTCTTTCATCTCATAATGAGAGTGTTTCTGGATGAACTGAGAATGAAGGAAGGAGAATGAACAGTTCACAGCAGGTAGTCAACTAGTCATCAGGGAGAGATTTATGTTCCTGCTACCTCCATAGGCAGCTATTTTTTTTAATCACAATTTTTTTTAAATTGTGAGGAAGAATAAACATGACATTTTGTATCACTACAGAAGTATTGCACTTACCTTGCATTTTTTCTGTTATATGATAATGGGCTGTTTGTCTAATTCAGATATAGATGAATATTCAATATTTAATGTTTCATAGTCTAAGGAGATATTCTAGTAGACTGTGAAAACCTACTAGTTAACATTTAGCTTCAGAAGCAGTGCAAAGAATTTCTGAAGAAAAGTGTATTCTTAAGAAACAATGTTGATAGATACACACACAAACACACACAAACACCTACACTAGGAACAAAGACCACAGAGACATTCTGATACTCAACACCTGAAAAATGGCAGTATCTACGAACCAATGAAAGAACTGCTTTTTGACAGAGCTACAATATTCTCTTTTATTTCTTCCTAAATTTCTTCTACTATGACAATTTCTCCTCCAAAGCATTGGATTCTTAAATAGATGATCCTGAGACATTAATGGTTTTATCCCCAAAGGGATATTATCTTTGAACTGATAGTTTCCAATATGAAATATCTGCATATTCCTGCAGAAGTATTTGGTTACAGTGTTTGTTGGAGAGAGAGGTGAAAAAAAGTTAATACAATAAATTGAATTGTTAACACCAGGATATGTATTTTGATTTTAGCAGAGATGCTCTGTTTTTCAATTAATGTGAATTTTAGATGACAGCAATATGATCATAAAACAGGAATTATGCTGTATTTTGTCAATACGGAACAGAAAAAGTCTAATAATATTTGCCACTTTATAAACTGAATTGATGAATTGTCTCTCAGGAATTTGAACACACATTCTAGTTTCTTTGGCTCAAATATTTCTTGAGGTATCTCTGAAGAAGGATCTGTTAAAAAAAATAAACGTCAAGACAAATTCAATTATATCTAGTTTACAGCCCAAACCATCAAGTTATGATTGTGGTATTGTACACAACCAAGCTGTACCATTTCTTGGCATAGCAGAAATTATGACTAGTTGCTGCTCTTTGTCTATCAACAATTTAGTTTGCACTGTAATCTGTTAAAGAGAATCATTTCAAAGACTGTAGGAAGCATGTGTAACATGCCAATTGAAGGTCTAATGGATAAGTTCTATGACTACAACTCTGTAAACTTACCAGGGAGAAAATCCTATTTCATGTAATTTTGACTATGTGTCAGTAGACAGATGGCAGATAGACAGAAGAAATTATTTAAAAGTTACAATGACAGATCTGAGAACTGATTAGAAGATAGAGAGAAAAAAGAAGAACAATTTGTCAATGAGCCAAGAGTATGCTGCCAATCATACTAGTGGTGACCTAAAAACTTTGAGTTAGTCTAACTGCAGAATTTAAGGGTAAAACAGGAATGAAAGCACTATAGAAACTAGAGGTGCGGTGGTGAGCCTTCTACTGCATTCCTAAATGTCAGTTGTGGCCTAGTCCTGGACACTTCCACTTTCTATAAAGTTACATAACTACATGGTGATGAAGTAGTAGCAATAGTAATAGCTCTCAATGCCCCCTATCAATCCTTTGTGATATTTCTCATTCATATCATTGAATCCTGTCCTCATTCAGTGATCTGTTCAGTAACTAAAGGAAAGAGTAACCAGCCACATCTTCAATTTCCACTATTTGCACTGATATTAATTTGTTAGTCTAATCTAGACTTTCTCAACCTGGGCAAGCTGAAGATGTGTGGATTTCATGGCTGGATGGAGAATTCTGACAGTTGAAGTTCACACATCTTCAAGTTGCCAAAGTTGAGAAACATTGGTCTAACCTAATATAAATTTGTACAGTTGTCAAATTTATATATAACACCAAATAAATCAAGGTCTCACTTGATTAAAAAAAATAACCTGTAAATATTGCCGCAAATCATTTCAGTCAATTCAATTTTCTTTGCAAGGAATTAGCAGGTGCTCAGAACTTGGCCATCTTGTCTACTATTCCCCATTCTAAACCTTATGGTATAGGTTTCCTGCCTGAGCAGGGGATTGGACTAGAGGACCTCCAAGGTCCCTTCCAACTCTGTTATTCTGTTATCCTTTTTCAGTTTGTGGCATGGCATACCTGATCACAGCCATGGTTTTAGGTAGGAATAATGTTTAGCTTCCACATAATGAGATATACTTGTATACTCTACATGGAAAGAAATATGCTCATTTAATTGAGTTTAAACAATTGGGAATGAGATTCTTGATTCCTTTCATTAAATTAGATAAAAATAAGATACATAATACCAGGGAAATCTATTCTTGTGCTGATAAAAACTTCTATTGATTTAGCAGAAGAGTCAATGTTTGCTAATCAGAACATCAAACCCTTCCCTCCTTCAAAATTAAATATTTAATTCAATTTTTTCAGTCCTACCAAACTCTACTGAATAAGTGGGACTTACTCCTTATTAAGCATGCATATTATTGTTCTGTTAATCTGTCTTTCCAAATCTTAAATAGCTTGTTTATATGTTAGCACCATTCATAATCTATCAAGTATTCATCTTTGTAATCTTACATAAATTTCAGCTTTTGCACAGAATTGGTCAGAGCCAAAGCATTTTTTTTTAATGTTATTTCATGGAAGAAGAAAAAATGGGACATGAGTACTAGGTTCTGGCTATTCCTTTTTGAAATGAATGTCCATGAAAATTTCTGAAGGCTTAGAAAAATGTGTTTGTATGTAGTTGCTGTTTGTATCATGCCTATGTATATGTATGGTTTTTTAAAAAATATTTTCATTCTACATGAATTTCAACTTTGCTAATAAAAGTTTGACTTGATGTAATCTTCACAAGCCTAAATTGAAATGAAAGAATATTCTTGTTTCCATTTGCCATGCAAATCATGAGGAAGGAAGAGAGAATAACTGTGTTTACTATGTTCCAACCGCAACTCACAATTCTATTTATGATAAAGAATCACTATGTAGAATTTTTTTTAGGATGATGTACAGTATCTTCTGAGTTAAACACTGGCCTCACAACAGTCAACCACTATGCCTAGAATTTATACTACCTTAAAAAAAAAAAAACCATACCCGGGGAGGTTCATATCTTGATCTAATCCAGAATTTGCACCTCCTAAAACTGCCAAGGGTTTTTTTTTTTACCCTTAAAAACTCTGTGAAAAATAATCATCTCTATAGGTAGGGCAAAAGTGATCTGAATAAACGTGGCCAGGTAAAATGGAAAACATTACAAGGAATGGACATTTGTAAATTCAGCAATTGGATGGATGAAAAGTCAAGAAGTGGAATATTTACACTGGATAGTGAAACAAGAGATTATGGTTGGCAGTTTCCATCAGTCACTTTTTTCTCCACAGGATGTTTTTTGTCACTGTTGTTCATATTAGGAGCCTATTCATCCAAGTTATCCAATCTTTTATATCATGGGTGTCAAACTCGCTGCATTACGTGACATGTTGTGACGTATCACAACTTTTTTCACACTGCCAGAGCTGGGGTGGGTGCGGCTTCCGCATGATGACACCCCTGCTTTATATTATACCAATGTTTTTCAACTTTTGTATTGAGATTGGTTCAATACAGTGTTTTTCAACCATGGCAACTTTAAGATGTATAGACTTAAATTCCAGAAATCCTCAGCCAGAAATCTTAAGAGTTGAAGTCCAGACATCTTAAAGTTGCCAAGGTTGAAAAAAAAAAACTGTACTGAACCAATCTCCTAATAACTTTCTTACCTTTCTAATGTAAGCATGTCCCCAATTGTTTGGTGCAACTTCAAATGCATCTCGGAAAGGCACTATACTTTCAGGGAGAATTCAAGGATACCTGAAATGTTACCATAATTATTCATGATGTATATATGATAAGAAGGAGCAGGGTAACTTTCATAATCATGTGCTCCGCTGATCTGAAAATCAAGATGCTTCTGCCACCTCTAGGTTCAGAAGGAAGTGACATTCATTTGAGTTACACAAGCCAAGATTTGGGTCAGTGAAGGCTAAAATGCAAGGTGAAAGCATAAGTTAGATGTGCCATCTGGAAAGGGAAGATCCAAAAGAAGGGAATTAGAAAGAAAAACAAAACAAAATAGGTTGCTTTTCAGCAAAGGAATCCAATACGACTTTTTTTGGAAACATAATAAACTACTAAGAAGGCTAAACACAGCTTTAATGAGAGACTACAGCCTGAAATGTACTTTTTTCCATGAGCATAATATGGGGCTAAGCTTTTTCTACCCATAGCTCTATTTTCTAAGTTGTTCTAATATAATTTCCTTTCCCAGCAATCAATTGATTTGCTAATTTGGCTTTGTGTGTGTGTTTGTGTGTGTGTGTGCCTTTAAGTCATTATTGATTCTTGGCAACTGATCTGCAGTTTTTTTGGCAAAATTTCAGAGGTGGCTTGCCATTGCATTCTTCCTAGAACTTAGAGAATGACTGGTCCAAGGTCAGACAGCTGCCTAAGGCCAGACTAAAGGTTCTAGTCTCCAAGTTTCTAACATGGTACAATAATAATTTGGCAAGTTAAAAAAATATCATTTTGTTTCATTCTCATAAAATATGCTATTTTTATGTTCTGCCATCTAGCAGAGAGAGGGGGGGTAGAGAGATGTCCTGATTGTGACCAACATGATCCTCTTAGCACTGATACGACCATATTAGTGATGTCACCGATCCCAGTAGCAATACATTCATGGATATTGGGGGGTTTTTTTGGCTACCAGACTCCCTGGGCCTATTTGTTTTTTTATTTTAAAAAAGGAAGGTGTGTGGGGGGATGGAGAAATTGGCATACTGTAAAACCCCAGCCTTTGGCATATTCATTATTTCCAAAACTACAATTGGCTATAAATAGTCCCTAGATGTTTGTTGAAAATAAAAAGGATGATCAATGTATGCTTCAAACTACAAAGGTGCCCTTTATTTGGCAATATGTGCAGTGATTCAGAATAAAAAGAAGAAGCAGGTATGGGAGGGGACAATCTATGGGAGATGAGATGTATACTAATTTTTTTTTTGCAGCCAGTTGTCATTTCTACCATGTGGTAGCCAAGTTGCTAAGCATTCATCATAGGTTTTAACGTACTCATCAGCCCCTCTTTTGGGAGGGAGGCACTTCCAGTATCTCAATTCATATTGTAATAGGCACATGTAATATATATATAACATGTACCTATCAGAATTTTACATATGATCTGCCTTCCCTTAATCATGAAGAGAGAAGATACAAATGTTGCATGATTTATGAGGTTTCACATGTCTTTCATCCTTCCACTCTACTCTCTTTTTGCATAGTACATAATCTTGTGTGGTGTTTTTACTGATGCTGACCTATTAAGGAACTATGGGTCCTTAATTCTATATTTGAATCATCAGACAATGTGTTAGAACTGAGGATCATAGTCTCATATATACAAATTACTTTGCAACATTTAAAGAGATAATAAACTTGAAATCAGGAATACAACTTCTTTTCTAAGACATGCTGCTAATAAAAAAATAGAATTTTGAAGTTATGTACAGTATGATAACATTCATGGAAATTCTTCATTTCTTACAATATCCTATGTTCAGCAAAGTAACTCCAAAATTTGATTTTACCATATTATTATTTTTTCATTTCATCATACAAATAGATTAATTCCAGTGTGCTTATTATTTTGGCAGTTGTACTGTAAAACTGAGTTAAATAAATGTACAGCCTTTCACAATTAACATTTGCTAGAGATCACATAGCTATAGTTGCACCAGCTACTGGTAATCAAAGATTAGTCCACCCTACTAAAATCCACATTCCAGAATTCAGTACAATATCTCCATGAAACTGTAATCTATATAAATCAAATTATTTTAATAAAACAACTACACACACATAATACCAACACCAAAACTATTTCATAATTTTATATATTTAACACATTTATATGGCTAACTGTGTGGCATACAATAAACCTAACAATTTACATATATTATAAAAGCAATTAAAGCAATTAAATTAATTATAAAGATCCAAAGATAGTACCGATGGGAAAATTATTATATATACAACAATGTGAAATCACAGCTGCCAGTTCTTTAGTTAGGATGTTGTATGCTATTGGCATAGTATATATGTAGGATAGATAAGCAATGTGGTAATTTGTAACTGACAGATGGAAATTTTATCAATGTGCAGATTTTAGGCTGTCCAATACATTTGGTATTGCCAATGTATGCCATAAAGTTTCAACATACCATTATGCTTGGTCACATAATAAGACAGATGTTTAGACTGGATTTGTCATTTTCATCCATCTACTGAGTCTTTCAAGATCAGAAATGAGGAGGTGATAAGCCACCTTGGAAAGCCAAGGGAAATCATCTAAACAATTAAAAAATGAAAATTAGAATATTTTGGACATGTGATGCGACACCCAGAAAAATATGGCATACTCCATTTAATCCTCCAGGGAAAGATTGACGGCAAACGAGGTCTAGGCATAAGAAGAACATCATGGCTTCAAAATCTAAGGGACTGGTTTGGACAAAACTCAGCAGCACTTTTTTGTGCAGCTGCTGATAAAAAAAGGATCGCCAACATGATTGCCAACGTCCGATAATGGATATGGCACAAGAAGAAGATTGAGTCTTTCCAAAGGATCTGGGATAGGCAGGTGCTATTGTCTGATAGTGTTAAAAGTCACAGGTCTTTAACACCATGAAACAACATTATTGTCATTTCCACAACCATCATATTTATATTTTTCCGTTTCAGTAACCAACAGTTAAATCAGTAATATACAAACACTAGCTTTTATCTGTTTTATTTATTTTTTCTTAACCTAACAACAAATGTTATTTGAACTCTTTATCCCATGGGTCAAGTTAACATACACAAGTGAAATCAAACTCTCATTGACCTAACATTCAGTTTCAGAAAAGAGATCAAATAATTAATTCTTGCCACTATTATCTAGGAGCAAAGAACTATCTTTGTTCCTGAACTTCCCACAAATACTGCTCATAAATACAACTATGAACTTTTTACTTGCAAGATATTTAACATCCCATGGTTACAAGGCTGTCTGGCAAGAAACTGATATTAAAGAAAGTATACTGTCATTCCAAACACTAGACTTCATGGAAAGAGTCCTATTCTGACATTATTGTTAGAAAGCATCACATTTAGAGACAGTGGTTCTACAAAATAGTGACATCCATATAGTAGAGCTTCTCTGACCTCTGGCTCCTTCATGAACCCTAAATGTAAGAAACTAAGAACTCCAAATTGGCCTGAGATATAGAAAGGCAATTTGACATAAGAACCTGCACATTAAGGAGAGATGAAGACTCCAGGAATATCCCAAACCTCTTTGTAATTGATTATCAGCAAACACTATATCAAAATTGTTATGTTTGGTGATCAGTGAGCACTGACGAGGCAGCAAGTGCAACAACAACTATTTTTAAAACAGAAGCCTGGCTAACTGCCGTTCCACCCCTATTTATACATTCAGCAACAAGGCGGCGGCCAATAGGATTCAAGTATTAGTTCCCGCTTTAAACACAAGTTAATGAGCATGTAGACCGAAAATCTGGCACTTAACTGACACAGACTTATGACCATTTTTTTTCAACAGTTTCAAGTAATTCACATCAATACATTACAAAAATCATGGGCAAAAATCTGAGATGTTTTTGGATAAGTGATAAAAATTAAGAATGAGCATGGACAATGCCTTCAGATATGGGAAAATATTTTTTAGTCAGCAGACAATTAACTCTTGAGGATTTGGTGGGTAGGAAAGATGATGAAGTTTTGGGAATTAATTTGAACCCCCCTATTTTAAAAAAAATGCTT